TCTGAATTTAAGTAACTTGGTGTCTCAGAAGCCAGTTCCTTCCTTAAATTATACACTTTATTGGTATTGAGTTGATCAATAACAATTTAAAAAAAATAAAATAAAATTAAGTTAAATCTACTAATGAAATTAGCGTGTCACTATTGTGTGTGTTGTGTGTGTGTGTGTGTGTGTGTGTGTGTGTGTGTGTGTGTGTGTGTGTGTGTGTGTGTGTGTGTGAGTATGTGTATGTGAGTGTGTGTGTGTGTGTTAACACATTAGGAGTTTTTCAGTACCTTCGTAATCATATTTTTGTAGCCAATCTCTTATAGGTTTTTTTATTAAATGGTGATTAAATTTTTGCTAGTACAAAATTTATTGAATGAATTATATAAGTACGGCGCCATATGGTAGTATTGTCTTTTGGCAAAAGCACTTTTTATTTTTGGAATTGGTATCTGTCTCCTTTGTCGCACCTTTGTATTCTTGTTTTCGGAATTAATAGATTTGCAGAGTATCGATGAAATCGCCTTACACATCGGTATATAAATAATTTTCTGACACTTAATACCTGAGCGATTTCGTAAGACGCGTGTAGTTGGATGTTTATATGGCAGATGAAGCAACACCTTTAGCACCACCCGCTGAGCTCGTTCTACATCAATTAGGAAAGTTTTGCCTGCACCACCCCAAGAGCAGATTCCATAAGCGATGATCGGTTGACAAAGTGCATTGAAAGTTTGTAGTAGGAGTTTAGGATCAGCAACATTACGCAATGATTTAAATACATATATAAGTTTCCTCACTCTCTTTGATAAAATCCTAATATGATGGAACCATTGCAATCTATCGTCAACGGTGATACCCAGATATTTAATAGTATTGGATCTATTGAGTTCCAGACAGTTGCATGTGGTGTGCGTTGATTGAGAACTGGCAATACAGCTGTGAGCGTGTATTTGCAGCAAAAATCGCTTGAGGGACTCGACACACTAGTCTTACTAAAGCAAAGATATGTAGTTTTAGAAGCGTTCAGTGAAAGTAGACTGCCGTCAAGCCAATCAGCAACCTTGCGCAATCCCAACTCAGCCAGACGCCTAGTTTTGTCCCACGTGCTATCATGGAAAACCATTGCCGTGTCATCGGCATATATAGTTATATCTGAACCTTTAAGTTGAAGTTCGCAAAGTTCGTTTATATATGCCAAGAACTCTTATTATAAAATCTTATTATATATCTGCATTCTACAGTCTGCTTCGAGTCCCAGCTCATCGGGTGAACAATCACAAACGGACGAGAGCAAAGCACAACAACAGGAAGCCACTAATGTCGAAGACGAAAGGAAACAACAAGCTGCGCGAACACCATGCCATGCTGACACCGGTAATATCATGATTTCCTGTCTTGAAAATAACACGGATTAATTATTATATAGCTATTAAAACTTTACAATATCATGATTATGATGACGATGTGCTGATGTTTCCAGTCTAATAATAAACTATGTTACGTTAACAGTGCTACAACATCCGCATATAATGCAGAGGTTCTACAGAACTTTGTCAATGTGCGACGGAATGAACAATCTGTTGTTGAACTCTGGTAAGATATAAACATTTTTTTAGATATATTTCATATATAATTAAATATTACACAGTTCGCATTAATAATTTAATGATTTGAAAATGCTCCAATCATTTCTCTCACTAAAAGATATGAAACTAAAATATTCATTTTGCGGTAATCAAAAATGGCGATAGGGTATCACGGTTACGTAGATCGCGTAAAAAAGTTTGCCGTATATATTTTATTTGTCTATGAATCGGAGGGTTTACCGTTTTAATAATCTAGTCACATGGTAAAAAAATTAAAAGATCTTAACTAAGTTATTATTTTTTATGCTTATTTAGGAATGAGCTCGGAGCCGTCCGGCGAGTATTCTTCGCTAAAAGAAGAGGTGTTCTGGCTAGTAGCAACAATACCTAACGTGGCTGCCAACCCTGCGGCGATGGTCAGCAGTCTCATCGAGTTTCTCAGTAAGACTTGATTTTATTAAATTTAAATTAAACAAAATTATCGTATGATAAATATATTTTTCTGAATAATTAATTAGGGTATTTGACACCATTAAAAAGAAGTTGCGTATTGTTGTCATCCTGTTAGATAATTATCAATTAATTTCTTAGAATCTGCAGAAAAAATAAGTTTTCACTTTAGTAAAATAACGTAAAGAAAATGCAACATTTTTAGGAGTTTAATAACAGCCATATGAAGTTATGTATGTTTTAGAGGAAATTTATTTATATATAGTTTTACCTCTTAGTTTCAAAGTTTCTTTTACATATTTCACTTATGTAAGTTTATTGTAATAATAGGAAAAGAAGAAGTAGTCCATTTATCGCAAGCGATGCAACAACTTATAATTCGATTATTGGATAAGCCCGAAGCTCTTTCGGCGTTCATTGAGGCAGGCGGGTTGGAACTTGCCGTCGAGAAACTGACAGCATGTCACCAGGTAACAAACTCAACGTTTTCGAGTTAGAAATAGTAGAAGATTATAAGTAAACATTTTATTGTGATTAATATTCAAATTGAAACCTTCTGAATGAAGCTTTTATAGAACTATTATAACATTTGGCTTGTTTTTCTCAGTCTGGTCCCAGTAACAGTCAGGGTTTGGTGTCCTCACTGATGAATTACCTTAAGCTACCACCACAGCTAGTCAACCTATCAACTCCTGCTAGTGGAAAGAAGAGTCAGCCCCCAGTCATCGAAACAGCTAATGGACTCGTCAACATCGCACCACTATGTCAGTATATTTAAGATGTATTTATTACAATAAATGTTTCATATAGTTCGCTTATTGAAATCTAGTCTTATTGTTAGTTGACATTTCTAAACAAAATTTAACTCTTTAATTCCATTTTATAGACATGCTAATTTCAACGTTGTATTTTTTTGAGATACAAAATTAATGCATTATTGTTTACATTATGATAACATCAGTTTGTGATATGTTTAAATAGACCTTATCTTTGTAATCCGTCCAATGTTCTTTAGTTTTTATGTATACTAGCTTTCGTCAGCGGCTTCGCCCGCGTGGTCTCTAGGGTTATCTTTCTAAATGTTTAGTAGGATAAATCGTATCCTATTATCTAAGTCAACTAATACCCTATCTGTATACCAAACTTCATCAAAATCCGTTCAGTAGTATCGGCGTGATTGACGGACAAACATCCAAACTAAGAAACTTTCACATTAATAGTATTAATAAATAGGATTCATGTGTCGATGTTATAGGTACGGTGTCATGCGGTAACCCGACTGCTCAGGCAGCGGACGTGTTGCTAGAGGGCGGCGGATCGCGCGGTTCTTGTGCGGCGCGCCGCGTTCGTGCGGCCGCATGGTCGTATCACTTCTTCAGCGCCGACGATACATCGCTAGCGCTCACGCTATCGCTGCCGTACGCTGCGCTGTTACACGAGGTGCAGTTGCAGCCGCATCTCACCAGTCTCGCCAGTCAGTATACAACTAATTGGCTAAATAATGATGCTTTCTTCTTCCAAGCTTTCTCTTTCTTTCTCCTTCCTTCAAGCCAAGTGATATTTTAATTGATCAATAGAATTTCCACGTCTCTTTACCACTTCGCGTCAGGTGTCGGTGGATGTCATTTCGTGTAGAGAGGTATCCAGTGGAACAGGATACTCTTGGGCTGACTGATTCGTTTTGGACGTTGTTAACAGAAAAAAAACCCTGCTTCAATGGAGAAGTACCCAAAGTTTACAATAAAATTTGTGCCGGTATCGCATATTAGGTAAAAAAATAGTTAAAAATAATATGGTAAAATTATTTTGTGACTGTTGTATATAGCTCCGGTACGATGCTGTTACCCAACAGTCCAAATGCGTGTGACCTAATTCAGTATCTTTTTCTTCTACTTTGGAATGCTAGTGCTTTTAATTAATACGCTTTGAAAAGAGCTTAAATTGTATATGTTGTGTCCATAGCGTGTCCAGGCGCGGTGGGCGTAGAGGCGGGATGCGGCGGCACAGTGGCGCCACTCGGTCCGCCGCAGGTGACGGCGGGAATGACGTTCATCCGTCTCGCTCTCGCACGCCCGGTGGTGTGCTCCACTGTACAGCTCCGTCTCTATCGCCCGCGTGACTCCTCCAATATGGGCCTGCTGCAACTGCGATTACTGGTGGCTCCTGCCTTCGCTCCCCATCTATCGCCCCCACCGGCGCCGCACGCATTGTAACTATCGTTTATACTTCCAACTCATTTGCCCTCTACATGTAAAATCTCAACATAAATTAAAAAATACCAATTCCTCTTTTGACTCAGGCTCGTCGCTGGCATTTCAGAATTTGACTTCTTAAGTTAGGTCATGTAATCAAATATAGGGCTAAACTATTAAATTAAGTATAACAATGTTGGTGATGCTATATGTATATCATGTTATTCGATTTTTTAAAAGTCCTTTTTCATAAGGAAGGCCTGGGCCCCTGTATTGTGGACGTAAGGGCTGATGATGATGAATAAAAAAGAACTATTGATGTCATTAGAGATAATGCAACAGGTACCGATTAAAATTATATATTAAAAATATCAATATTCATTTTGTCTTACTAGCATTATCATTAGTGGGCCATTTCATAATGTAGTCAACAACAAAACAAAATAGCTCTTCATTCTATCTCTTCATTTCATCTCATCTCATATCTTCATTTTAAAAATTTGTCTTTTCAATAAATTTTATGTAATTATATTAGAATTTAATAACCTGACGTGCTGGTGCATGTGTGTGTTAATATATTGATTGGCTTAGGAACAACTGGGCGTGCGTGATATCGGCGTGCACGCGCGCACGGCTCTGCGCCAATCGGTGGGAGTGTATAACGAGCGGGGGCGCGGTGGGCGCGCTGTGCGCGTGCGTTGTGGGTGGCGGCGCGCCCGCGCATCACGCTCATCACGCGCTACTGGCGGCCGCCGCGCACGCGCCCGCACTTAGGCCGCGACTCATCACAGCGCTCTTGCATATGGATGCGCAGGCATACTCACACGGTTAGTGGAACTTTATACGTATATCACCTAACATTTTAACACCTCAACTTACATTCATATTGTTATGGAACTCAGCGGCTCGATGTTTTGTCTGCTCGTTACTAGATGGCATTGTGTGTCATTTGAATCGTGCTAGCACCGTCAAAACTACATGTGTTATTTATACTTAGGCGAGAAAGGGAACGGCGTTTGGGGAAGAAAGGGACATTATAGGAGTAACCATTATAGAAATACTAGCTTTCCGCCAACGGTTTCGCCCGTGTGGTCTTGTATTATACATAAAAATCTTCCTTTTTAATCACCCTATCTATGAAAAAAAAACCGCATCAAAATGCGCTGCGTAGTTTTAAAGATTTCAACATACATAGCGATAGAGAATTGTTTGCATTATCGATGGAAGAGTTAATTTTTATAAATAATTCGTATTAACTCGTTTTTGATCTATCTTGCTATGTTATGGCAGAGTTTCAAGTGTCAAACGGCGGGTCGAGTAGCATTACTGCGGGGGGTGGGAGTGGGTGCGGGGGCGGTAGCATGAGCAGCGTGTGCGAGTTAGTGCGGCAACTGTGCAGTAGATGTGCGAGCGGGTCGGTGCACGCATACCTGCAGTGGTTAGGCGCCGCTGCCGAGAGATGGCTCCGCGATCACAAACCACCCTCTGCTGCGCTCACGCACACGCTCGCAACGGTACGTACAAACCCTAGAGCAACTTCCGTCTAGTGTTATTATTAGAATAAACAGCATCTGAAGTTCCCTAAGAACGACAATATTACTCATTATTATTAATGTAGAAACTGTTTGATGGACGTTGATTACTGAAGTATCAAAGTTATCAAGGCTAATTTTAACTTATACTCAAGTTTTCAAAAGCAGTGGGTGAAGCCGGCATCACCTTACATAAAACATAGTGCCGAAATATCATTGCGCTAATATTGTTAAAATGGTCGCTTTTTTTCCACAGGTGCTATGGAGTTTGAAGGAAGAGAAGATGTTAGATAACTTGGAAGAGTTGATCACCGATGATCTTTTCGAACTAGTCTACACTTGGGTGAAAGATGTTCCTGAATCCAGTCTCCTGAAAAAATCCCTTGATGCCAGTAAGAACCGATTTCAATAAATAGTCCATGTCCATCACTAAATTATCGTCATAATTTACCTCTTTTTTTTCTTTTTCAGTTCTGTGTTCGATGTGCTATATTAGGCCGGAGTTATTTAAAATGTTATTAGAGCAAATGGACATACCGATGGACCAGGAAGAGAGGTTTGTTTTATTTAATTACATCACTGTTTCTGACGTGTGACTGAAAACGAAATGCAATGCCTCTCATTTTTTTTAGTATGGAGGGTTTGACAGATGATACAAAGGTGTCAGCGGTACCAGTAGCAGAGTCCAATGAGTGCGACAGTAGCGTGGCGTGGCGATTACGCGGATGGCAATTGCAAAGCGTGGCTGCGGCGGCAATGTCACCAGCTGCCACCTCAGCATTATTACGCTCCAAATTGCCCGCCGCGGTTGTACGTGCACTTTCAGGTTAGTTACTTTTGATGCGACATTTGTGTATATACTTTTGCATGTGTTTGTACCTTCACTTTGTATGCTCCAAATATTATCTATTCAAGAGAAGATGACGATAAACCACCCGATATATCCGAATTTTATAGCTTATGGCTTATGCTTATATACATTTAAGTAAGTGTATTTCTATTTTGTATCTGATCAAAGTAAAGCAATCAATTTTAAATGTCTTCTGTACATTATCAAAGATTAGATGGTATGTAATTCTTTGGTATCAAGTCCGTAATTTGTGACATGGCAGTGAAGAATAAATAAATAGTTAATAAATATAGCATACCATATTCAGTAAGGCTCCATTTTTCTCCACAGAATTTAGTGAAGCAAAGCTGGAGATAATTAAAAAGCAGTTAAGTTCTGAAGAAGACGTTACCATGGTTGATTTAGAAAAGGAAGACAGAAATCAGACTAATCCAGGTCAGTTTTTTTCATTATAATATGTGATCTATCGTAATAAGGAATAAGATTTCTTATGATTACTTTAATTTTGAATGGTGTTTCAGAATTGCCATCAATGAAGAATGTTTGTCAACTGGTAGAGTTCCTGCGAGCGTTATGTTCTGATCGACGATTGAAGGACTGGTTAGGTACTGCAGGCTCATGCTTCTGGCAACCGTTGCTCATGTTACTCTGTTACCCTAGACCAGCAGAGAGGTGATGTATACATAATTATTAAACTCTCATCATAATAAGTATTGAGTTTGAACTGTTAAATTCAAATTGAAGGTTATTTATATGATACAATTACAGGACACAATATATGTAAGAAATATGAACTGTAAGAAAGAGGCATGTCTAAGTATCGTTTTATTCTATTTTAGCACGTGGCAAGAAGGCGCTCAGTATGCACAGTTGGAGGAAAACACGATACGTTTGTTTGCAGAACTAAATGTTTGTCACCCAGCTAATCAAAAGTTATTTGCGCATACGTTACATAAAATACTTGAATCACTACACTGTACAGGTAAGCGTTAGTAAGTTTTTAAATGATTGATCAATGCTTTTACCATGTTCGATATGCGAATGCTACCTCATGACTGATCACTATTTCATTTTCATTATAGCATTAAAGTTCGATATAATTGGAACTACCGCGTAAGCTGTGTTACATTTGTTCAATAATATTTATATGAATATTACGCGTTTATGGGGTAGCTTTAACTGATATCATTTACGCAAAAAGATTGGAGTAAGTTGAGCTATTTTATGTACTTGCCATAGTTGGAATAATGAGGATATACACCGAATATCGGGATTTGCATTTTTTAGTAGACAAAAATAAAAGATTGCTTTAGGAAGAAATGAGAAAATACATTTCTTCTCCGACAGGTAAGTATAAAAAGGACGGGTTTAAGTTTAAGGATAGTACTATAAATAGTCATTGCTTATTATTATTGTTGTTTACTTGTGATTGTTAGTTCATAAGTTTTTCAAAGTATGTAATGAAAGAATATTAATGCCTGTGGTTTTGTTTTATCGATTTCAAATAAACGTGGACTACACTTAAACAAGATAACTGAACTGAGCGTTATATGACGTAATTTTATTGATCTTTGTTGACATAGGCCCTGAGGGCATATCTGGTTTCACTCGTGCGCTAATCCTGCGATTGGTGGTGTCTGGAGAGCGCGTGCGTGTGGCTTTAGTGTGGGGCGGTGCGTCACGCGCACGCGCACTCCCCCCTCATCCCGCCGCTCGGGCGCGTCATACGCTCACACTACCATTGACCACTACTGTAAGAGCTCTACTAGCAGAACATCGCCCGCCGCGTGAGTATAAATATCAATCATATTTTGACACATCTGAACTAAACACAGTTGTGATGCAAGTTTCGAGCGAGCCAGGTATTTAATCGAGCGAAGTAAATTATTTACTGAATGATCAACCATTCTTGGTATTACAAACTCTTCTCGAATTTCATAAGCCCCATTTGCCATGTCCGTTTTGGTATATTGGTATCCTTCACAAGTACACATATGTATCACGCTTCACTTTTTCACCAAAATATTTAAAAAATAAAACCAGCTATGCTGTTCGGTGGCTGGAAGAGTTTAAACTTCTAATTACTAATTTAAAAGACTTTTGAAGTTAGCTTTATATCAACATATCGGGATTATTTGTAAAACTCCAGACAGCTTGTTAGATAGTAAACAGCTTAAAAAATAATATTTGATATACAAGTTTTAACATAATACTTTAAACAAAAATATTTTTATAAGTTTTTGAAGTGTTGCCGTAACATTTGTATAGCTACGTTTAAAAAACGAACCGAACGGTGGTATTTTAAAAATAGCTTGTGTACTTATGCTTGCGATTCTATGTTAGTTTTGTATTTTTCTCAGTGCCCATAGTGGATGACGCAGCCAAGATGTGTGTGAACCCGTCATCAGGCGGTGTTGGGTCTTTACTCCGCAGTGCGTCAGACACTGCCATCATGACTGTGGCAGAGGCGTGGGAACTCAGCCTCGCTGCCGCTAGCGCCTCTAAGGACAAACGAGTCAAAGACGTGAAAAACACTTCGCTCAAACAACAAAATCACAAGAAGAGACAACTGAAGAACAATAATGAACCCTCTGTGCTCTCAGTTACGGATGGTATGTGAGGAAAAATATTAAAAACTTGACTACATATTTTAGAAATTGCATTGCAACTACGTTATCTTAGGCATATAAGCAATTTTTGTACTATATTTCAGAGAAACTTAAAAAGTATATTGATTTGCATAAAAATGCGTTATTTGCCCACCTATTAAATAAATATTTCTATGTTCATTCTCTTTGTTTACAAATATGTTTTATACATTCATTTACAGAATTAATAGAAACTACGATACGTGTACAAGTGCCTGGCCTCGAAGGGTTCATTCCTGGCCACACAACGCTAGCACAGTTAGTAGAAGCTGCACCTCACGTGTTCGGGCCACATCTCACACTCACTCTACATCTAAATACCGATGGAGGTGTGTATAAATCGCTAAATGGAAATTTTTATAGATGGAAAAAAGTCTATTGTTTTTTTGGTAACTAACAAAAGCAGAGTTCGTAATTATCTAGAAATTTTGAAAATACAGAAAGACATTAATGGTTGATCTTTTTTTGTGTTAAATTACCTAAAAAAATTAGACAAAAAATAACTGAAACATTGAACTATTTAAGATATATATTATAAAGGGTACTTCCTTTTTGTTTTTGTAGGACAATTTTCTCTGTTAAAATCATTTTTATTTTATAATAGTTGATTAAAGAGGACTACCCTAGAATGACTCGTCCTAATTTATAAAAAGCTTTGTGTAGTTTTTATAACTATCAAGGTATATTTGTCAAGATATTTATCGAGATAATTAAGTTACAATGATCATTATCACTATGAACCCTGAATAAAAGTATAAGGAGGTCGATACACGGCGTAATCAAATTGGATTCGACAGGATGGCATTGAATTTAATCAGTTGAATACTTTATTGTAGGATTGAATAAAACGCACTTGACAATCAATACAGTATCGAATAATGGCATTTTATTGAATCCCATGCCGGCCAAATCAAAGCCAATGTAATCATGCAGTAGATCTGTTAGTCACTATAAAAACATAACAAAGAGATATATATCTCTTTGTTTTTTACATGTTTTGTACATGTCAGTTAGTATATTATTTTATGACGTTCCAGAGGTATGGTCAGGCCCGACATGGGAGGGTGGCGGCGGGGTGGACAGTGCTCGCAGCCGATGTAGCGGCGTGGTGCTGCGAGAGTTCGGTGCGTGTGGTGGTCTCGCCCTGGTAGCGGCGCGGCTGCCGCGACCCCACGCGCCCCCGCTCGCGCCCCCCGCTGCACCACACCACCACGACTTTGACTGGGTGAAACTCGACGATCCCTACGAAGTAAGCAATCCTTATCACGCTTGGGATAGGCCTTCCCACGTCAGATAAAGGATAGGCTTATTGGAATTGAGTTGTCTATATCGTTGGAAATAAAAAGTAATATCTTATAAAATAAATATTTACGGAGCTCCTATTTCCGATACCGTACCGAAGTCAAACTCGCACTTTCGGCCGGTTTAAATAACCGGTAGTAATGCAATTTAATGCACTTTTAGTAATATAATATTCTGGACATCATAGTGTTACAAATATCCTTTTGGTCCTGCTAAAAGTTGCGGGTAGGAGTTATGAGTACCGCGTAGGGTGCTACTGAATAAATTAAATCTAAGAGCTATGGCCTAGTAGTGGTTTTGTCTGCAGGAGGTGGTGGAGCTGGGCGTGAGCTCGGGCAGTAGTGCACTAGGGGGCGAGGAGGCGGGATGTGCGGGGGTGCCGGCACACGCGCTAGCCGCGTTGGGCTTGCTATTGAAGCTGCCGCGGTATGCTGATGCGCTGCTAGATGAAGGCGCACGGGCTGTACATCTGTTGAGACTGTTGCTCGGCGTTACGCACACAGAGGACGGACGTTAGTATTAAAAACTTGTTATTAAAGATTTGGGTCGATAAAAAAACATACTGAGTATATAGTATATAAATTACTGAGCATTTCGTTTTATCGAGTGTGATCGGTATATTTCGGTTGAAATATGGAATTTAATAACTTGATTTTCTTTTGTGTGAAAATCAAGTTATTAAATTGGTGGTTTCTAGGGAACTTTTTATTTGGATATGAATACGAGGGTCAAACTGAAAGTTCTTAGAAAATCAAAAACTGATTACATTAGCCAGTTATTAGTTTTATTATATCTTTTCAAAATATTGTCCATTCACGTCAATACACCGCTGCATGCGATGGAACCACTGGGAAAAGCACTTTGCCCACTCGTCCTTAGGGGTCTCTTCAATGGCATCGCGATACGCAGCCACCGCTTCTTCAGCATTCATAAACCGCTTTCCTTTAAGTTTTTCTTTAATTTTTGGAAATAAATAAAAATCACAAGGCGCGAGGTCGGGGCTATACGGCGGGTGACCCAGTAATTCAACGTTTGATGTCGCCAAATAGTCGATCGTTCGCTTGGCGGTGTGCGACGAGGCGTTGTCGTGGTGAAGGAGGATCCTACTGCGAGGTCGTTTCTCTCGAACTTTTTCCAAGACAAGTGGCAAACAATTGGTAGTGTACCATTCTGCAGAAACTGTTTTTTGATCCTCTAACACAATTGTTGCAAAATGACCTATCCTTCCAAAGAACGAGGCCACCATTTTTTTTCCCGCACTTCGATCTCTCTTCACTTTAGTTGGCAACTCCTCGAAAGGAAACACCCACTGAGCAGATTGTCTTTTGGTTTTAGGATCATAACAGTAAATCCAGCTTTCGTCACCTGTTAGTATGTCGAACACAGCATTTGAGTCACCTCCGTTAAATCTTTCAATCATTTTACGACACCAATCCACACGATGGAGTTTTTGAGCCTCAGTCAAATTATGAGGTATCCACCGGGCGCAAAGCTTCCTGACCGCTAAATGTTCGTGGAGGATTTTGTGCACTTGACTCATACCGATGCCTAAGCTTGCCCGAATCTGTTGATAGGTCACTCTTTTGTCAGTCTCTATCATACGCCGCACAACACAGATGTTATCTTCAGTCGTCGCCGTAGAAGGCCGTCCCTCACGTAAATCATCAGTGAGATTAGTGCGACCACGTTTAAACTCATTAAACCAGTTGTAAACAGTCGCACGAGATGGGGCTTCATCGTGAAAGGCCAATCGTAGTCTATCATAACTTTCTTGTTGACTTAAATGACATCGAAAGTCATAAAAAATCATTGCACGAAAATTTTCTCGTGTTAAATTCATGATGACGTGACACAGACAATTTTCAATTTGCCGCCAAATCGTAAAACAAATGACAAATGAATGAAATATATACTCAGTAATATTGGTAAAGAGTTATATTTTCAAATTTTAGAATTATTTTTTTATTATATTGTTTATAAGTGGCCAGTTCTAAGAACTTTCAGTTTGACCCTCGTATAATTATAATGACAAATTGAATAATAATAATGGTTACTATGGTCAAGTTTCAATTTCTTATACAAATTTCCACTACCATCCCTTTATCTGCTTTTTTCGGAATAAAACCCGTAGCTGAAAAAATTTTTAAAATCGGCCCAGTAGTCTCGCATCCTGTACGTTGCAAACAATCAGTCAAAACTTACCTCTTTATAATTATTATAACAAACGGCAACGAAAAATCTTTCCATTTATATAGAATAAACTTAAAATATGTACTACTGCACGTCAAGCTTCCACAATATTTTATTTTATTCATTTAACAAAGTTTCAACAGCAGTTTTGTTATTTTTCAATACAAAAACAAATATGCACCATTGTCGCCAATCATAGAAACTTATTTCCTTAATTGATTTGAGAAAAAACACTGAAACAATGTCAACAGCCTGAAAAGCTGTTGAATTTGTTCAGTGTTCTCAGCTGAATAGTACTGTTTCAGTGTGTGTGTGTATACTTTGTGCAGGTAGCATAGTAGTGAGCGGCGGCGGCGGCGGTGGTAGTTCGGGCGGTTGGTCGCTGGGCACGCTACCGTTCCTGGTGGTGTCGCGGTTGTTGGAAGGCGCTGGAGAGGTTTCCAGCGCGGAAGCACAGGCACTGCGCCGTGCGCTGCTCGCGCTCGGGGCCGTGCGTCTCGTGCTCGCTTGTCTTGCCGTTTTCACCCACCACAGACCCGCCTCCAGCGACGTCAGTATTCTAATCCATCATCCATATATTAATGAGAAAGTGTTCTATTTGTTGATTTTCAATAACGTCGCGATGGAGCTTCGTTATATTACGACATAGTCGGGAAACTAGAGAGAGGCATGGCATAGGACTTTTTAAGGTAAAAAAATTCGCTTAGGTTTATCTCTACGCTTATACGGGTGAAGATGCTAAAAATCTTTCCATTGCGTGTATTTTTTGGCAAAATTGTGTCGTGTTGTAGATGTACACTGTTTTTTTTTAGTATGGATTCTTATTAAATTAATAATTGAATCTAAGTATCGCCAATTGTTACTTACGATTAATTCGTTTGTAATTTTTTATATATGTTTTTTTACAACAGAACAGTCAAGCGTCGAATGGCTCATCGGGAGGTAAATCAGAGGAAAAGAGCCAACTGTATTGGGCGAAGGGCACAGGTTTTGGTACCGGATCTACACAACAGTCGTGGAACGTCGAACAAGCGTTAGTACGCCAACGGACGGAGGAGGAACACGTTACTGTATTACTACAGGTAATCGCCTCATATATCTTAATACTATTATTATTATTCTTATATTACTTCATCGCTTTTTTTATGACAAAAAACACTCACTTATTAGGGTTTTAGAAATAATTACAATTATTTGCAAACACATACAATTGCAAAAAAAAACTTATTTTTAAACCACCATTAAACGTTTTTTGAGAAGCATGTACGATGAGTATTATAACATTTTACGGTTTCACAGGTTTTAGCATCATACATGAATCCCGGCGAAAAGTGGCCGCCCGAAGAGAATTCGACAGAGGAAGATCCGCCTCCTCCTCCGATATCTGTTTCACCGGACGGTGTTGATGTCATTGACACCGAGCCCCACCATTTGCCCCTAGAGTTCATAGATCTCGTGGCCGGCAGTTCCTTAGTTCCCGCTATCTGCTCTTACCTTAGAAACGACTCGGGTATGTAAATACACAGGCCATGTCAGTAATTTTAACTTTTTGAAGGTTGGTTATGCATATTTTTTAATATATAAAACTGGCTCACAATTTTGGATAGTTTATTTTATTCGAAATAGATTAAAATGCTAATATAGTAAAACGTTTTAGAATACGTTATCGGCTATTTGTTTTTAAATGAATTCAAGCAGTAGTTTTCTCATATTATATGTGTACGGTGTGCAATGTCTGTTTCGTGTGTTAATGTAGCCCGTTACATGTGTATTAGTGTTGGACATGTCGCGGCACATCCCTCTGTACGTGTGCGTGTTACGGTGTGCGCGTGCGCTTCTTGCGTTGCGTTCGCGACGATTACAAACGGCACTGCGTCCATTGCCGCGGCTTCTGCATCAGATGTCTCGCACCACCAATTCATATGCTGCCAAGCTTAGGTAAGTGCCATCATCAATGTATAGACTATCATTAAATATACCATATTGTTTTTTGCTAAAAGAAAGTTTCTGTCATAAGTACCTAATAGTATGCGTATTTTTAGAAGCACGTTAGATTTTTTTTTGCATTTTTTTATTAGCTAAATTTACACAGCAAAGACCTCATTATAAGTAGATATTCTTTCTGTATTGTTATAATATGACTTATTTCTTCGTTTTCAGAATGAGTAAAAAGAATTTATTCGGTAAAATGACATATAGCCAAAGATTTAGTACGTCAAGTAATTCAGAATTATCAGAAGAGGATGAAGGACTGGCTGCACTTATAGCCGATATTCAGGTTAGTCTGCTCTTAACAATACATTGAAGATCTTGCTAAAATGCTAATAAGAGGGAAAAAGAGTATTGATAATAGTATCCATGCAGATCGTAACTGAGCAAGTAGTTTGACGTTAATAGGGTAGTTTCAGTAGTGAAAAATAAGTCCCGAAATTGCACAAAAGCTTAAATGACTAGAAACAGCTGTCAGATTAGTCATAAAGATATGCCTATTAATTAAAAATCAAATTCCTATATAGCACTGTTTTTAGATTATTTGTATCTTTTTATTTCGTAATCGATCGTTAGATGACATTGTTCTTGTTTTATTGACATCTTTTAATCTTTACTCTATGCATTTGTTTTGTCAGAATGACGTCATGGATAAGACGGACAGCATTTTCGTGGGTTTAAAATAAAGTTTAAATTTTGATTTAATTTTAAGGCAAGAAAACGTGTTTATTTTGACAAAATAAGCAGAATATCCTATTATGAATGTTTAAAGGCGACATCAGCGTTAGTATGTCGATCGGAGGGTGATGGAGGCAGTGAAGTGGGCGGAGTGCCGCGTGCCCTCAGCGGCGCCACACGGGAAGCGCGGTATATCGAACTCATGCGCACTATGCAGTTTGGTACGTTATCTATAAAATCACTACACTATAGTATCGTATATAACAATATTATAGTTATTTGTAAAAACTAACAATTTCTCAAGACTAAATAGGTAGTTATTACCATAAATTACAATGCTCGTCCTATTACTTTTGACAACCATTTATGTCTTGCTTTCATACGAAAATAATTTTAATTTAATGTATAGCTCGAACATTAATTACTCAAAGCGTATATTGTACCTAATCTAATAATGTACTCATACAGCGCGCAAACGTAGCGTTGTAATCAAAACTTGACAAATCATTTTGATTCAAAGTATTGAATTATGGTTAAACTATTAGATTAAATGTTGTCGTTTATGATATTAGTTGTCGACTCTTAAGAATTTACTAATGATTTGCAAATAATCCTGTATGTGTATACAGGATTGATATGACGATATGGTTTCGCGATACCCACACACGGGAATCTTTTTTTCCACTATTTACACTATCGCATTAGTTACGTTTTAGGTGGGTTTCGTGGTCAGGACTAATTATATAATTAATCCTTTTCTTATCTAAGGTATAAAGCATTCTCTGTCTTTATTTACTTATTGTGTATTTATAATCTTATTATTACAGGTGCATTTGACTTACATAAGATGTAAATGTTGGTAAAGAATATAACGTAATTTTACTAACACACTACATTGTCATCAACATAACTTTTTTTAATGATGAAAATGTGATGTGTCGACAGAGACTTTCGAGATGATAGCGGAGTGTCCGGAGAGCGGGTTCAGGTTCACGGTGCCGTATCACTTCGAGGGTGCTGTCAGAGCGGCCGGTGCACGTGCGGCGCCCGCGCGTATGAAGCGGCTAGCACAGGAGGCCGCCACGCTCGCTACGTCACTGCCGCTATCATACTCATCTTCGGTATTCGTGCGCACAGATACAGATCGGCTCGACGTTATGAAGGTGAATATCGATACCGAAGAAAAAAATAACTAATCAGTGAACCAGAAACACAGATGCCGCATGAAAGACGGCAAGCTGTAGCCAAGAATATATGATTTTACATAGATCGTTTTAACAATAGTAACATAAAGTACCTATTACTACGGAATACGTGACTTTGAACTAGCCAATAGCGTCGCCGCAGTTATTTCGCCAGCCCCACCGCTCAGACTGGCATCTTTATTTTTTTTAACAAAATAATCTTCTTGCGGTATTCTTTTGAGGTTTTCTGTGATTTTAAGCCTATTGTACCCATAGCCAAGAGCATAAAAAAAGCATGAAAGTGAACATTTAAATTATGAAATGGTGCACCGATTGTAAACCTCTGTTTATTGTGAAAATTATGGGTAATTCCCGGGATCGGTCTTCAGTGATGTGGATCACAATGGTAGCCTAGGTGGATACAACGCCACCACTATTAATATTCGTGTCTCTTTTAAGCCCCAGGATAGCCCCTGACAAGTAATTAAGATGAAAGTTATAACTTGTTTAAAATAGTACGATTTTTATAGTCATAGAGTAAGAAAAATAATTCAGTGAAGTGATACATTTACGTTATAATAAACCTACTTTCTATGCTGGTCCCAGTCTATTTGGCGCGGTGTTTTTCTCTTCCATTCTTTTTCTGTCGCCATCTCATCCTTGACTTTCACAGGTCCTTATAACTGGTCCATCGGATACGCCATACGCCAACGGCTGTTTCATCCTCGACGTGTACTTCCCCGCGGAGTATCCGGCGGTGCCGATGCTAATAAACTTGGAAACGACCGGCCGCCACTCGGTGCGGTTCAACCCTAACCTATACAATGACGGCAAAGTGTGTCTCTCCGTACTCAACACGTGGCACGGCCGGCCAGAGGAGAAGTGGAATGCGCATACTTCTAGTTTTCTACAGGTATAATTTTATACATTTATTTATATGAAATTTTGTAGCTATTGCATAGCTAGCTTTACTATTATGTAGTCTTTAAAATTATGTTACATGTGTTAAATAGTTATAACGTTTTTGTTTTATTAATTTCGGTTGTTTCCTTTTTTGTTGTTAATTTATTAGTACTAATAGTGGATGGAAATGGATATCACATTCATATTTAATTAAAAAATTGTTTTTACATGCTCGAAATTCAATTGAATTACATTAGACTACAATAAGCTCCAACTAATGTGGTGCATAGTGAATCTTTGTTTGCTCAAAGCAGAAACATACGATTAAACTTTATAGTGAGTCTTGTTTCAATAAACATATAGTGTAAAATACAACGCACCAGATGTTCGTCCCACTCGGCGGGTATCAGGCACGTCGATATTAGTGGATAGCCCAATGACGCGATATTTTAATCATTAAAATTGCTCGACATTGACCGCGCTTTGAAATTTAACCTTCTGCGTAGATACATCAGTGAGCCACGTCAGTTGTATCTTGCTGTACCTTGTAGTCACATTCGACTACATGTGAATCATAACAAATATTGTTACAATTTGTATAATATATTGTCAGGTGCTGGTATCGATTCAATCGTTAATCCTTGTGCCCGAGCCTTATTTTAATGAGCCCGGATACGAGCGCAGTCGCGGCACGAGCGTGGGCACCAGTGCGTCACTGGAGTACAACTCCAACATTTACCAGGCGTGCGTGCGCTGGGCCATGCTCGACCATCTGCGCAGTCCAGAACCGTGCTTTAAAGAGGTAACACACACATTATCATCCCCGCAAATTGCTAATGCGTCTGGCCGCTATTCCGGTGACTCAATTGCGTTCAAAAATCAGTACCGTTGTCAAATAAACACGGGCTGACTAGTAAACTTATAGCAACTAGAAAAGTTTGAGATCACACATATTTCATGTTATGATTTTTTGTTTTCGATTGTTATTGTTTTGTTGTTATTTGTTATTGTTCACTAAAGTATCAACTGCTACTATGATTTTCACAATAGGTAAACCTAATTTCAGTAAAAATAAATATATCTTTGTTTTGAAAATTGACTTTTCCGAAAATTAATGCAATAAATTATCAAACTAAAGGTTATTAAATTATTAAAACAAAATGGCGATTATTCATAAATATTTCAATAATTAATAAATATTTTTTCTCTTACATTTTGTGCTGTCTGTACCTTCTTTTTTCAAATGACGTCACGCGGATGTTATGTGGACAAGGTTCCAGCGCATTAACACTTTACTGGACTTTGCTTGCATTATTTTCTTTCTTAACCCACTATAACATTTTTTTTTATCCAGTTCCTTGACTGCTCGTTTCATCGAAAATGAATCAAAAATTAAATTTTATATAAAGTTCATTAACTTTTACAATTCATTTTGGAAAGTGCATCTTTCCCCATCTATTATAAGAATTAACTTTAACGGCCGGTTTCTGAATTGATAAAGTACAAAATCTCAACTGATTATTTACAATAACTAAAGTTTTCTGCGTTTAGCATAGCAAAAGACCTAGTTTTATCAAACTGCTATCAATAGATCAATAAAAAAAACCGAACCGATACCCTGTTTAAGTGATGTTTAAGATGGGTTAACTATGGTTTGAGATGTTCTTAACTTTTAATTCTTAATTCAGAAACCGGGTGTTAGTAAAGTAGTAAATCAGTGAAAGTTTGTGACTTGGTATCTGTGTGCACTAAAGGACAAATATTCTAAAATTCACAAGTGTCGAAAGTCAAAATAGTTCTCGGCCTAGAGGACTACCATTTGAGTGAAATTAAAGGGAGCATATATGTGTTAATAATGAGGTGGGATTACTGTGAAGTACTTACGGTTCTTTAGGTTATAACATCATAAGTAATAATATTAAGTATTAATATTCGTTTTATGCATAGGTGATTCAAACCCACTTCTGGATCAAGCGCAATGAGATCATGCAGACAGTAGCTAACTGGATCACTGAGTTGGAGGGGCAAAGTGGCGACGAGCGTACACAGCGAACCATACAGCTCAACCTCATGGCGCTCAAGGTACCTATACTTATTTTTTATTATAATTTATTTGTAAATCTGGTCAATGTTAATGTTCTAAAAATTTGGTCTGTTTTTAAAATGAGAAGTATTTTTCCTTCTTATATTGATTCATGCTATCCACTAGGTAAAAGTGCTGAAGGATTAAAAAATATATTATAGAAGTTTGAGATGTGAGCATCATGTAATTTCATTACCAAGTATAGGTGTAGAAAAGAATACATTTTAATATCGACCATAACAGAAGGCACATTCTGTTTTAGCAAGTTGTATAAATATAAATTATGCAACATTTTGGTTTGACTTTGTATGAACTTAATAACTCACGAACGAACACTAGTAGCGATTACTTGAGTACTCTAATAGGTGGCCGTGGTAAGCCAAAGATAATTCGGGTGTTGACTAAAATGTGCATGTGTTTTGCGGTGTACAGCGTCACTACGTAAAGCTGCAGGAAGAGCTAGGTCGACTGTCGGCGCCGCGCGGTCTCGAAGAGCTGGACGAACCGTTCCGGTTACCGGAAGCGCCCGGTCCGGCGCCGCCGCCAGATGACATAGATCACGACATGGAGAAGATCGTCTCCCAGGTGCTAGACTGATCCGGCCTGCGGGCCCCCGTTGCTCTCACGCACTAGCTATCGACTCGGTGGGACCTGTTTAGTTTAACACTTATTGTGATACTATAATGGGCCCGCGCGGCGCCCGGTAAGCTGTTTAGATTATGTACAGGGCGCGCCGACACGTCTCGAGCGATCCCGCCTCGGTCCACGATTAAATATAATTTGATTGTATATAAACTCTGGTATCGTTATTTTAATTTATCCGCTTTGAGAATTATTAATATTATTATTATTACGCGTATACTAATTTCGCTCTTGAAGAGTATGAGGATGTGTAGTCAATTGTTGTATCGAACGACGTCACGTCCTCGTTAGTAGAATTATGTATGGGCCTAGCCTTTCGCGATTTTTAACGATTATGTTTATGTAAATGAATTGACAATAATATGATTTAATCAATATTCGCGCTAGACGCGCACCCGCCGGCGGGGTCGGCGCAATTAATTACGTCATATACATTGTGAATGATTGTATATAAAAATCATTAGTGAGGCCGAGGGGGTATTCTCGTTGTAATTTCATTGAGAAGTCGGTTGATGTAGGAAGTTTCTTGTTATATTTGACTGTGAATTTCGGAATGTAAATAAAAATTTATGTTATCTCATTTTATGTCTATTTTTTAAACCCTTATTTATTTCCTATCAGATTAATGCTCATGTCACAAATATCAAAACACATAAATCTAGTGATTTTGAGAAAAGAATATACCTAATGAAAAATTCTTAAAAATCCACTTGGCATCTTGAAATGGGATTCGAACCCATAACCTCAATCAAGTATAATAATTGGAATAAATTTTCATATGTATCGAAAGTTTAAATATTTGTAAAAATATTTCTTTCGGCTGTTTGAGTGGATTGTATGAACATTGATGAGAATACGCTCTGAAGCAGCGAAAAAGTTACAAGTGCTTGAAATATTCGTCAGTCCTGCGAGTCTTGAGTAGCTCAGTGGATAGAGCAGTCGCCCGGATTGCGAAAGGTCATGGGTTCTAATCACATCTCAGGATGCCAGTGACCAAGTGAACTTTTTATTAATTAAGAATATTTTTCAGTATAGCAATGTGTATGCGAAATTGATCAAATATAATTATAATAATATACCTGTTTTGGACAATCAAAGTACTAATAATAAGAACACAACTTTCGTACTAACAGGTTTCTTTCCCATTATTCTACTAACTATATACTATCTGAAAATCGAATCTATATTCTTGGGGGACGAATAAAGAACAGGTTTCTTTCCCATTATTCTACTAACTATATACTATCTGAAAATCGAATCTATATTCTTGGGGGACGAATAAAGACTAAACTCGTTTGAATTTGTTAATACGCTTTTATTGTTCACTATTTACAATGTCACAATATAAAAACCATAAAAAATATTATGACTTCATAATTGTCTATCTGACTGTACCTTATCTTACCATTGACGTCCTAAGCATTGCATCTAAACATCTTAAGAAATAAATAATTTACTTCCTATAACTTTCATGACTACTCCGAACTATAAACTTAATTTATAATCATACATTTTATGATCCATCACAGATGGAACTGTTAGTGACATTAAATGTATTTATTTACAGTAAAATCTACAGTAACATCTACTGGTATATTTGCCACATATTCAGGTTTGTTAGAATAAAAAAATGGTCATGATTCCATCAAAATTTTTAAACATTTAACATAAATTATGCTAATATTTTGTTTATGGCACTTGTAGTATTATCGTACTGATGAAATTTTCCCACTTTGGTTTTGCTGACCGACAATCTGTTTTTCATCTGTTTTTCGCTAATTTTTTAAGAGAGACGGTAATCGGCCTCTTAAGTTACTCCGGTCAACGACCCTCGGCGGTATGGTTTTGGTTAGAGTTATTATTTCTTTTTCTTCCACGCTTCGTCCGCTTGTGTTCCCATTTCAAGAGGATTCAACTGTCCAGCTTCGACGCACGATTTGCAACAGAACCTGCGAATTAATAATGATTTTAAATGTGTAAATACTACTCATTAATTATATTTAGTGACAGATATAAACTTTTATATATCAAACAAATAATTCTACAGGTACTTAACAGAAACATTTCTACCACAAAGATATAATTAGTTTTAAGATATTTCTCTTAGAATGACTTTACTTACTTAGAGTAGTACTGGTGGTGACAGAACTTGCTTCGGACTATCAGCTGACAGTCCGCGAAGAATGGATTATCCGTGCAGTGAACTGGGATGAATAGACCTACAAAGAAAGCTTTTGTTTAGCTTTTATAGTATAGAAATACTTTATCGATAAGGTCAATTTTAGAGGAAGACAATCTTTATTCCAATAACAATAAATTCGATTATTTGTAAATTACCTTGCACGTTGACTTGTATGGTGGAGGAATGAGAGTTGTATGCATTACGTGCGTGGCATCCGTACACGCCGCTGTCTTCAATAGTTAGTCCGGATATAGTTAAACGAGCCTCTGTAAATAAATAAATTTGTTTAATTTACGTTGTTAATTATCCATTCTTTGGATGGGCGTTTGAAATGTAATTTAAATAATATACCCAATCAGCTGCCAAACCCTGGAGTTTATTACCTACCTATCTACCTACTATCATCTACTACTATGAAATCTTATCGAAATCGTTCAAATTTTCTTGAAGATGTGATGCTTCAGAAGTTTTCTTCTAATAATGGCTTCTGTTTGTATCGGACCTGTCTGTTAGCACGGCAAAAAGCAAAAAGGACAGCTTTCATTCAAACACTGCCCGTAAACCACACTAACATCAACTGACTGCCACTCGATATTTAGACCTTGTCTAGAAAGGGTGAATTAGCCGCGAATTCCTACGCGATTTTAAGTTTATTGTTACTAACGTTTTATTTATTTGTAACACACTACTTTACTGACGAGTAATCTATAACGAACCGCGTCTGATACACGCGTAGTTCTAGACAGGGTCCTACTTCGAGTTGACTTCTAGATGTAATAAGTATGTGAGAATTTTAACATACCAGTAAGTTGTATACGATCGGTGGAAGAGAGTCGTGCGCCGTCTTTGCTCCAGTAAACATCGGGCAGCGGGTACCCTTCTACCTCGCAAGGTATACTCAGCTCCGCACCGGCCGCCGCCGATATAGAGCCCAAAGGAATAGAAGTGTTCACTGGCACTGTATGCATAAATATTTCAATAAATATTGTATACTTACTATATAAATTATAAAAAAATAAACAAAAAAACTTCAGTTGAAATACGTTTATATTTTTAGGGTTCCGTAAAAGGAAAATACATCTTTTATTATTACATCGTTGTTAGTTTGTCTGTCTAAACCCTCGAGTGTTGATAAAAACACTCAAAGTAGTCTCTCAATGTCAAATTGAAATATCCACTATTTGGACTATAAAATAGCAGTTTTAAAACAATATAAATATATATGTATAATTCTTATATAATACATACATAGATACGAACATATGAAAAATTATGTAAATTTTATGTTTTTGATTACCAATAATTGTTAAATTTCAACTGGTTTTTTATAAAAATAAAATACCTACATTAGAGTTTTCTCACAGCCATCGGAAACACAAAGTTGTCTCATTAAAATTCAACATTTTTAGGTAGTTATAGTTAACAATTATAGTTTTTTATATGGAAAATTGATAAAGATGCAAGTTAATTTTATAGCCGAAGGCTTGGGCTGCTATGTTACTAAGAAATATATTCAACATCGAGTCGCGGATATATTATGGAAGATTATGGTCTGTATTCCACAAGGAATGCTTCCACAACCAGTTTTGTTTAAATATAGGTTTTATGAGTAGATAATAAATTAAGAACCTGAAGCGACCACCGACGAAATTCAGTTACTAAGAATAACAAACACATTATGTATTTACTAAATAACAATGAAATCATATGAAAATAACAAACCATGCAAAAACAAAGTCCATGCATCATGCAATGTTTACATACAACATCTACAAATAGTTATTATGACTTTTATAATGTTTAAATGCATTATATACCGCATAAACCTACAAAAGAAACAAAAATTATTTATTTAATAGATCTGAATTGATTCAGCAAGATAATTTTAAAGGTTTTGATTTTACAAAATATTACTCGCTATATGGTGTATAATCGTAAATATAGATACATAAATTGATAGTTCTTGTACTTCGAACTGAATAACTAGGAAATTCGTAAGTTTGGAAACATCAGAAGAAGCACGTCACGATGTCTAAAAAAGTACTAAAAGATTTTCTTTACACCATATTCTACGTATCTTGCTTTTATAATAATCTAGCAGTGCTGTTATAGATTAACTACCGGTTTCTGAATTGACAAAAGTACAAAATAAACTGATTTTATTATCCATAACATATGTTTTTTACTTTTTACAAAGCTAATAAAAACTAAAATCAGTAAAGAAAAGTTGTTTCAGTGACGTTTATTAGTTTCAGAGATGTGACTGTGAGTGATTAACTTTAAATACTCAATTCAGAAACCGGGTGTTAATCACTTACCTGGATTCGATACTTTTTAAATATCCTCATTTTGTTTACAAAATTAATACCAGATACACTGACAATACGCCATTTAGCGAGCCATTACTTAAAATGTGAAGTTATACTTATTAGAAAACTTCGAGAGGCAGACATCAATCTCACCAGTGTACACAGGTACGTCGATTTCAGGCGCTAGTGTTGTTGTGGCATGGGTTTGAGCTAGTGTCGGAGTAGGCGGTCGTTCTCTAGGTACGAGGTGTTCGTTCTCTCTATCATCGTCCGTCTCGTATGCACGCACAAGTACCGTCCAAAGTGCGGCCTTGCCCACTCCGTTATATGCCTGGCACGCGTATTCGCCTAGTGTATCCACTGACAAGCGTCTTATCTGCAATACGTTCCCTCGAGCCTCATACTGCTGGCTGCTATACGGCAGCATATTCCTGCCCCGGTACCAATAGATCGACGGCGGCGGGTATCCGTATGCGAGACATCTGATGTTCAGACTGCGGCCGAGCTCGCCGGTCACCACCGCGTTCGTGTCGCCAGTGATGCCCACCGGCGCCTCCACCGGATCTAACCACTCCCGATGTTAGTAGCTCTACTCGAGTTTGTGAACGCCCGCAACAGTTCGTCCACAAACTCGCGGTTAGGTTTAACTATTTAGCGAAAGATGAAAGGACAGGTACAAATGAAGTTACGTATATTTTGGCAGTTTCTGTGTTTTAATCTGTATATTATCGGTTACAATAGACGGTTTTAAATATTTTTAGAGCACAGAGACGACCAAAATATTGGTAATGATGATCGTTAAAATCGTGTTCATTAACCTTCTAAAGCCCGTGCGTAGGCCAACGCGAGCACCAGAGTCACTGAGAAACAACCGCGCGAGACCATTATTGCAGCCATTCTGCTCTCTGACTGTCACATCTACCGATACTCGGACCGTTTATACGTTAATTGTGCTAATGGCAACAGATAAACGACTGTTGACTGCTAATGATTGTGGAGTACACAAAACAACTAGGTATAAACTTTCGGTCATTATTTGTTTTACGGTAAATTACTTTAGGTATCTATTTTAATGAATGGATAGCGTACGTTTTTTAATTGCAGACTTTCAATTTTAACTTTTGACATGAAGTAAAAGAATTAATTATCATTACTAGCAAACTTAATGTACCTAATGTTATAGAAATGATACTAATGTGTGTAGAATCTATCTATTATTATCTGTGCAGAGTTGAAAGGTCACTGCCGCAGATTTGTTGATGCGACATTAGGTCCAGTGTTGTATAGACGTGATGGCTTGATAACCTTGGGTCACACTAAGAGATGAGATACCTTAAAGATAATATACCTACTTACGATCATGTAGCCTTAGAAGTACATCTATTTATGACAACATTTGGTAAACAAACGCTACTAATTAATTTGCAAAGGCCACATAAGTTTAGACAAATAGAAAGGTTATCGTATAGAATGCATCGTGGCAGTTCGTAAAAGGCTCGCAGAGTTGTTTTCCAGTGACGCATTAGTGATAAAAGAGGAGAAAAAAAAAATAGCTTAGCAAGATAACATTTCGAGGAAGTGACAAGCGGTTAGAAGAAACAGATAAAGTTGGTTAAAATATCATGTCAGTTGATAAATGCAACTAAGTAACTACTTTTACATCAGCGAAACTATTTGCTGTGCCATCACTTTTTTAATTATTATATGAACACATATTTTTAAGTCTTCTAAACAGATAAACATTTATATTAACGATTAACTATTACAAACGTAGCAACAGTAAGGCTGATGTGCATTTTTTTTATTCAAACTCCCAAAAATACCAAGCGATTAAAATAAAACCAAGGATATAGGTACTTGAAGTACCTAGGCTAATTATTGTACATTCAATACCGATTAGTCTTGCTTTTTTAACGCAGTTTGTTAGGATTTTTCTAGCACCATTAGAGTGTTGGTATATTTAATAATCTGTTTTTACTAGCAAATAATTAATGCGACCCTTGCACAAGACAAACTGTCCATCTCGACTGTTCACATTGCATGAAGTCTGCAACTTTCCACACGTATGGGTGTCAACTGATAACTTAATTTTCTTCGATTTTCTGTTGTTCTGCAAAGAGTAGTACTTACCGTTTACTTGCAGCCGGATCTCCTGTCTGGAGACACCATGCACATTCTCGGCGACGCAGATGTACACTCCAGAGTCATTGCGATATAAAGACACTATTTCCAGGGCTCCGTCCGACAATAACCGGTAGCGACCAACGTTGCCGTCAATCTGTTATTGACGAAAATATTGATTAAGTAATTTTCAAAATATTGCTATTCATCAGAGCATCACCTGAAAACACATTTATATATATCATATTTGGCATAAGTTTCAGATACATTTTCAACACTATATAATCACAATTGTCAACGCTTAAAAATATATTTTATCAATTTTCTTTGAAACAAATTGGAGTAAATTAATTCTGTATTATTATCTGAAAGTGAGTATTGTTGTTTGGAAAATGTATCGTTAAGTCAAATATAGAAAAATATGACATACAGTGATCTCGCGTCGTCGCCAGGTGATCTTTGGCGGAGGGTTTCCGTGGAAGAGACAGCGCAGCGTCGCCTTGCCACCTTCCGTGGCCGTCACCTCCGGTTCAGTTACAGGGTTCGCTTGCGGCGCTTGGGGCAACTCTGTGCATACATGCATACATTTTACATAGATGTCTTAATTTTTGTTCCGGTTTTCCAATTTACATTGTAATTTTTAAATGGAAGTTACATGTCATATTAGTTTAATCTGAAACTCCCTACAAGTCCAAAACATAGAACAATAGCTTTTCTGCATTTTTTTCGGTTTATTTTGTGTTAGTGTCGTATTGAATGATCTTTTTTATCTTTGTTCGGCAAAAATAACTTAAAGCTGAATTATTTACTGGTCATCAAATTATTATACGAAATTCTTGAAATAAGGTATTTGATGGTAGAGTTCAAATCTGTTTTATATATTTAGGATACTGAGCATCTATAAAATACCTCCCCAGTCTAAATATAATTAAACTGTGATTTTTTTTGTTATTTAATTAATAATATCAGTAATATTAAGCCCGCCATTAGATAATTTGGATCGTGATCAGTTCAAAGTTGCGAATTGATAACAATAATCATATTATTTTATTTTAATTAATTGGAAAATATGTAATCTTTTTCAATCTGGCATTAAAACATTACACAATCTATCTGACAACTGATCAAGATTACGGATGGATTTGACACGAGATTGGACGTTTAATGGCCCTACACCTACCTGGTGAGAAGGTAGTGGTGGGTGGCTGAGATCTATCACTGGTGGGTGCCAGACATAATTGGCTGCAGCCGCGCGCGCAACACTTGCCCACGCCGCGACAGTCCGCGTCGTCGTTACACTCGCGACGGCACTGACCCTCCACCGTCGTGTCCTCAGACGGACACAAGCCGGGCTTGGTCACTGTTGTCATTGAAACCGACTCTTATCATGCTGTCAATACTTTTTTAACACCTTTGCTCGTAAAGCTGATGTAATTCCACCGGTTTTAAATATGTAAAGCGGGTCATAAAAAACGCGTGTGTTACCAAAGCAAATAGTTAAGTTATAGTCCATACAAATTCCATAACAGTATTATTTGCCATTTCGCGCGCTGTTGCTATTCAAATTTCGAACTAATCGCCGCGCGGCGCCAGTCAGTAGGCAGCGCTAGCGCGCTGTTAAAATAGCGGGAAAGCAACAGTGTACATTCACAGATTGAGTTTATTTAATGTTTTTTTTTTCTGTTTCCTCGCAAATGTGTTAAAAAACGTCGTACGATATACGTGCGTATTGGTTATAACATGCTCGGCTCAATTACGCCCTCGCCTTCGGCTCGGGCTGAAATTCCGCCTCACATGTTATAACCATCATAACGCACTAATATTGTAATGTTCTATTAAGTACTAGTGGGTTAGCGTGGGCTGTTAGATCTAGACGTGTTAGAAGTTTCCAAAATCTACTCCATGCATCTATTAGAATAATAGTTATCTAAGAAATTGCTAAAGTAGCTCGGTGGCATAATGGATTATATTATTAATAGCTGCGGCTTGTTGTTAAGTAACTTTCGCAAGGGCCGATCACGGGATGGGTGATCATAAATATCTCGAGTTACAACTTGCGTCGGAAGGTAGTACATTTGCAGTCGTTAATACCCTCCAATGTGGCCCATCCTCCTTAACCATCCATTAGAAAGGCCTGAGCCCCTGCAGTGGTAACGTAAAAGGGCTGATGATAAAGGGATTGCTACCATGTAACTAGGTAAAGACTTGATAAAGTTCTCAATATTTCGGCGCAGTTGCAAGCGCCATCATCACAGAGTAACTCAGCAGCCTATTTATGTCCTCCTTGTACAGGCTTTCGTTATGAGTTAAATCGAATAGAGCATGACCCAACACGCGAGCTCAGCTCATATTGGTGGGTGTTAACGACTACATATGTAGCCTGGACTAATAGCTTGACGTCTCTTCCGAAGTACGGAGGAGCTCGATGTAATATTAAATACCTTTACTGCTGATCTTTGCGAAAATTACTTAACTTGGGCATACGAGTCCGAACGCGCTAATCAGTGTGATATAATAGGTCCTCGGTATAAAGGAAATCAAATATTATTTTGCCCGAAGTTAAATAGTCAGATAGGCCACTGCTTGCACATTTTTGTCACAAGCTTTCTTTTTATAGTATTTTTGATCAGCTTACCTAAATGACAGTCGGCTGTGTAGGAGAGATCTTGTGTGACAGGGTCTCGGTAGGCAGACGCCACACAGCGCTCGTTCGCCGGACACTGCTTGTCCTCACAAGGATGCTTTAGACAAGTACACCTGGAATGTAAAACGTTTGTGAGAATTCTAGCCATCTTTTTTATGTATTGTTTAACGATATGAAATTATGCGCAGTAACAAATATAGACTGTCGCAATTCTGTGAAAGTTATTAGAAGATTTATATTGGAAGAAGCAATAAATAACGTCACCTACAACCTGCACGTATTTTCGCCCCCGTATAGTGCATTCTAGTGACTTAAATATTTGCACATGTCTTGACGTCTTGACGATAAAATATGCTGGTCTAAAATTGTAAAACTACCTTGTCACCATATTTTCGCAAATAAATAAATATTATTATTATTTTCATCATATCCGCTAGTACGCTGGAGTCGGTTTTTGGTTCACTAGGAAACTCAATTCAGCATGGAATATGTCCCTTTTGGGTCTGAAATATCTTTTTATCTTTTGCATTTGAATAACTGTGAACCATCGTGTATCAGTTATGAAAGATAATTCTCGCATTTGTTAAGTTTGTATATGCTCTAGTACATATGGAATATGGTCCCACTAGTGTCTGATGTTATTCCTCATGTATTTTTGGTCTGGTGCAAGCTCCAGTACGTTTGTAACATGGTATATGTCAGGTCTAGTGGATGCTTCAGTACATATGAAACATCATTACATCGAGAAAAAGTTGTGTTAACTGATACAATCGGGTCGGGTTCAATCCATATTCTACTACGTATTGAATATGGTGCTTTGAGTATAATATGTGTTATTTATCTCGTGCATTTTCGGGTAAGAATGATATTTACCTCTCGCATCCGTCGGGTCCGGTGGCGCGTTCTAATCCGTACGCACACTTGAGTGTTTCACACTCATGTTGTAGTGGGGCGCAGTCCACTTCTACCTGCACGCACGAGCATCTCTCGCATCCATCCCTAGTACGGCTGCGTTGTACACCAAACTCGCACCGAATTACGGTGCACTCTTCGTTGAACCGATCGCAGTCAGGCAGCACTTCATTGGTTTCGATATCTGCATAAAGATTCCGTTTAGCTTGATACATAGAAAATTTAATCGCAAAAGGTTTAAGATACGGTTTGGATTTTTATTTTATCTTGGAAAATATATTGAAATAATGACTGTAAGATTCTTTAAGGGCAAATATAAATAATAGATATTAGTAACAAACAATATTTTAAGTAGAGTGTATTGGTGCGACATAGTGAAAGCGAGTGTCTAAGCGGTGCAAGGATGAGTGCGGACAGTGATCAACCATTCCGATAGCGAATATACAGAAAAAGAGATATGACTATAAATACAGGCTCTGACGTTGTATGGTACATTTAGTTTGAAGAAGGTTATCTCTTAATGCACTTCAAATTACAGTAATATTTTCCATGCAAATGTTGTAACCGACAATGAAACAAAGTAATACTTAAATGCAGTCAAACGAAACGAATAGCCATGGTATGTACCAGAATTTCTTTCAAATTTGTTTAACACGATAGGAAATACAAATGTATACTTAGAGACAATGTAAAGGTTTAGTACCTGATATAATTACGGTACCGATGTCGGTATTAACAGTGATACATAAACAAGTATGGAACGAATATCGCAGTGGTTTCAAGAATCAAAAACAACAGATTTGCGATATAATTAAACGCGAAAAGATATTTACAGCGGATATAGGTCAGTGGTCTCAGTAACAACAAAGAATAGATTTACGTTCGAACACGACGCGGAAGAACTTCAACAACATTGAGTGCCGTTCCCTATACGTATATTTACACAGGGAACTAACGAGTACATTATGGTGCGAACGGGTGGAAGCACAGGGCAGTACCGGCGAGGATGAGTCGACATCGTTGCGCGCACTCGTCGTACGATACGAAGTTGTTGTTGTTGCCGGCGCAGCCGTTGTACGCGAACGCGCGGCACTCAGCGTCCGCCTCGCTGTAGTGCCAGCGGCGTTGCGCCGGCGCACCGCACGCCACCCCCACCTCCACTGGCTCCAAACATCGGGCCTCTGTCCCCAGCCCCCTACCCGTTACTAACGACTCTACCGGCCTTTGGACCACGGTGGTTCGTGCACGAGTACGTTCGTTACAAACATATGTGTATGATTTTCGTAAATTGTACGTTATCACCAAAGGGGTACGTTATTTTCCATTTTTCTATCTCATTCACATCCTATAAAATGTATCTTTGTATTGTAAAATTGTCTGAACATGTTGGCGTTAACATCGTGTTATCAATATATGTAACAATCTATTGTCAAAGAGTCATGACTCTCTTGGTTCACTAATAAAATAGGCTGTAGGTGCGTTAAACTTGGATAGTAACCCCACGGAAACATCCTCGACATTGATATAGAGTGATAAACAGTATTCACTTGTTATAAATTTTGTTGTAAGTTAACTGATTGGTGAGGATACACCTACCTACTTGATTCATATTTGTGGTTAAAATTCAGATATCAAACATATTTATATGATAATACCATTTGTTACCACCACCGCCAAAAGTTATGTATTAGCTTACCTTACTCATCAAGCTGAATACTTAGTAAAGAATGGAATGTATATGATTCTACCATGCAATATTATTCTATAATAGGAAAGTTTTAGACATAAAGAGCAAAGACCATTTATTTTTGTTTTCGATGAAGTCTTAGATTTCTTCAATCAATTATAATTCAGATTCGATTGGAGATTAGATAGGTCTGAGATAAACTCGATTGGAGAATTCTGAGACGTCATAAACAATTCTTAAAAACTGTAGAATGGGTAGATCTTATCAGAAAATTGTGTTAGAATTACCTACGAAATAGGTAACATGGACAAAGACAGAAGAAGACTAAATAGGTATTTAAATAAAAAGCAAGTTATACCATCATTAAAGTTTTAAAATACCGATGAAATATCAATTTCAAAGACACGAATATTGTAAAAAGGTATTTTACATTCTTCAGAAATATGTATAAAAACACCAATATGTAAAACTTAAATTGAATACAGTGTGTATTATAATATGTGAATTAATATATTGGGGCAAATATATTGAAATCATGATGTTATATCTAAAATAAGTTTCATAATGTAACAATCGACGGATAAACAATCGTTCGTAACTCACCAGGTCCCGTATGTCCGCACGTTTGCTCGCATTCTTCGATGGTCGAGAAACGGTTAGGTCCACCGCCGGAGCCACTGTAGACGAACTGTTCACAACGGCCCGAGCTCTGCTTCCAATAGAACTTCGGAATTGATTCTCCGCCCAGGCCTACATCCAGTGGCGATCGACATGGATCTGGTAGTTATAAAAAAGCCTTGTTAGTATTTAAGTGATGTCTTTTTAGTCTTACATTAGAGTGATAAAAGAATTTTAATTTATAATAGTAAAATTACTTCTATATTATTAATTATAACCTACCTACCTACTAGTTCCTAATTACCATGAGTCTCTGTTGTTTATTTGCCTACAGATGTCTTTAGCATAAAGACTATCAGCCAGTTCTACAAACGTCAATTAAAATTTTTATTAGTTAAAGACATTACCCATACGAATTTGACATCCATTAGAGCTTAAAGGCGTCATTAAACCATAATGGACGTTTGTTTATTTAAATCATATCTACGGCTTGGTCCGATTGTTTTCTATTTGATTGGCATTGGCTTAAATCCAAATTAAATTAATTGTTCTGTAACTTGCCTAGTCCACGGAAGGCACCGCAACGTCGTAGACATGCCTCTTCGGATTGATGCGCGAGCGCAAGTCCACAGCCGCCCAGCGCGGCCGGAAGGCAGACATGATGCGACGATTCGTAATAGTACGCAGTTTCTGTACTGTTGCAGGAATCTAATACCGTCGGAGTGCGACATTCTTCATCCACCGGCTATACAGAGTAAAATTAAGGTAAGTATTACTCGTATGAATTAACATGACGGCCTTATTCGTTCCCGAATATGCAAGCTAATAAAAATTAAGGTTATTTAAAAAGGAATACTGACTCCAGGTTGTGGCGGCGCATGTGTACTGGTAGTGATGACAGGAACTATCGGCGCTCGCTTACATTCACCTTCGCATTGCTCGCGGCTAGTGAACCTGTACAATACGTATATTTGGTTAAGGGACGCGTTATTTAGTTTATAACCATGTTTTCAACGACTGATTTAGAGGTGGCTTTCGAAAAAGCAGTAAATGCTAAAATACGTAAACATGTTAGTAAATGCTAAAATACGTAACAACCTTTGTTGTTTAAAATATAAAGATTCTAGAATTTTAGAGAGAGATTTTAAAACAGAGGTGAGTTGAAACCCTAATTTCTCGAAATTTATCAGTAAGTTGACATTATCGCATAGGTATCAAATGCAACCAGGCTAGTTGACATCATCGCAGTTGATATGTGATGATGCCAACTTGCTACAGTAACTTTCAAGTTCAAGTAATATACACATAGTGAGTCCTCCCTCATTTATCTAGGCAGAGTAACTCTAGTCAGGCCCGTCTTTACCCATGGTGCAGGGCACAGAATACGAAAAAGAGGTTAGAAAGACCATCATGCATTCTTTGTACGAAAACCGATATCGCCAGTCTTGCCCCACTTTTCGTCCGCCATACATCAGACGAAATATTAGACCAATTATACAAAAGATATACACTTCCATATTAAACATGCCAATCAGAACGCCCTAATATAACTATAACCAATCACGCTCCTCCATAACAGACATCTAGAGTGCGTAATAAACGTGTAATAGCCATTTTAATTTGACATATTACACTAGCGATTGACATAAAGTTATTTACTATCGATATTGAAAAACAACAAGAAAATTAATTAAAAGGAGAAATGATTTCTTTATATTATTTTCGAATTGTATTGATTAAATGTGACATTATTATTTTTCTTTAGATATAGTTTATAAGTTGTTTGATTCAGTAAGAAATATTTAAATCACTTCCTAATAATGAACTAAAATTGAATTGGTACTAGTCGTGCTTAAATATTTATTTGCATATAAGTATGTTTATTTATAAATAATAATAGTAGGTATTTTTTTACGTTAAGTTACTCGATTTCGTATCAAGTAAACAGATAAGATCGGCAACATCGCTTTAATGAAACTAGTAATATTGACAAACAATATAATGGAAATAAATGTAAACAAAATAAAAAAATACAATTCGTATAATAAATGCTTGGTTCAAAATAAAAAAAATAAAAACAATTCTGTTACAATATTAAGAATATAAAAACAGATTCTTTCGCTACACCACACTAATTATTAAATTACTATACAAAGGCATACCAAACGAAGTCAATATGGTTGTCAAGAATAGGGTTACATTTTATTTATTGCTAATGTTAATCGCTGATTAAATTTATTTTTTATTACCACTATTTTTATCGTCCTTACTTTTATTTAGTTTTTACTAACTAACACACCAAGAATCGATTTAATGTTTCCAGGCATTTCACTAGCCATCTACCGTAATCCGATGTTCTTTACATTACGTGCTTAATACGACGCAATGTAATAAATATAAGTACTTCTTCAGCAATGTATATTTTCTTGGAAATATTTTTTGAAATTCACACTTTTGATAACATTTCACGAATTTCGACTAAAAATACTAAATTTGAGAAGTGTTCTACTTACTAATGGAAAGAAATCCTTCCTTTGGACCTACTTGAGCATGGGCTTCTTGTTTTGCAATTAATAACTGCGCAAATCGGCAGTTTTAACACTTTTAGTGGCGTATTTCACAGTACTTAAAGCGCGCGCGTTCCTGAACGATTAAACATCTCGATCGTGTGGTGAAGTCACGATCCTGTATATTTGTCCAGGATCGTGGCTACACTGCCACGCCCACAAGGCCTTTCTAACGTCTTTCTGTGTTCAGTGGTGCAATGCAAGGGGTGCAATGCACCCGGGCGCCGCGCGTTGGCGGCGCCGCGCCGATGATGGTTTAATATAAATATGTGTAAAAAGTGGGCTGGGGGGCGCCAGAGCACTACTTGCACGCGGGCGCCTGCTGTGCTTAAGATGGGCCTGGCTTTAGTTATAACGATTGTAACCGAAACTAAGGTGAAAAATTTTAAATCACTCATATTTAAAAGGCTAAATTTTAATATGGATGATGACTAAATTTGTTTGTCTGTTTATTGGGTAGATTGAACATAAATTTTTTTATTTGTTGCGTAACCAATGTACGGCGATACATTGAATTGAAATGTCGCATGTTCATTTTCTACACAGTTGTGACGCAACGACTTCTCAATTAGAAGCCCTATCTAAGCCATTTTTTATTGAATTAAAGCAAAAAATATTTTCTAATATCTGACAGATTGACTGATAGAATTTCTTTTTTTTTTTACCCAGTCATCGTCTTTATTATTTAGCGTCGGAATTGATAGGTTTACTTTGCGCAAATGAAGATTTATCTTCATTCATGCGTCAAGTTAGTTGGAAACTTGGAACTTACTGAAACAGTTGTTAAATATTGATAAAAAAGGGTTGTTTCACCTCACTTTCGTTTTAAAACCCCTCTCCCCTATTTTTTACTATAACATTTTAGACTCCATGTTTTATTAGCAAAGTCCCAAATCATGGATAACATAATATTGTCTTGATATTTACCTGTTGGCATCGCTGTGGTCGCAAGAGCCGTAAGAGAAGCATTCATCACGAGATTCGTCGAAGAACCACGTCACCTCGTAGTCTACGCAATTCACCGGTTTCGCTCTCCTCTTACATGGATCTGGGGTCCATAATAAATCATTTCTTTATAAGAACATAAATGATTAATGGATGGGAGATCAAAAAAATATTATCCTGAGTCACTCCGTGCTTCAGAAGGCACGTTAAGCCGTTAATCCCGGCATTGTGAAGTAGCAGTTGGTAATAAAGCAATGATTTGCACGAGAGTAATAGTTTGTGCTTCGTACAACTAATCATTTTAGATAGTTGCGTGTATGATAAGTTTAGCTACTTATATTTATGTAGTGTGGTACAAACCCTTTTCATCCTTGCAAACGTCCTGACACTCCTGTTCAGTGGAGAACCGATTGGGCCCACCATGGCAGCCACCGTACGTGAACGGCTCGCATGCATCTGACGTCTGGTTGAAGAAGAACTTGCCCACAGCCTCTCTGCAAGGGCCAGGATCCACGGGGTAGTAGCATACATCTATACAAATTTGTACATAATAAATTTTACCGTTGATATAATATCTACCATTTCTCGTGACCTCTCTTTTCGACAATGTGCTCTATGCTTCCGTTCATCATCATCGCCACCAGCCCTTAACGACTGCAAATGCAGCCGGGACCAACGGCTTAACGTGCCTTCCGAAGCACGGAGTAGCTCGAGATAATAATTTTTTTGGTCACCCATCCCGTGACCGACCCTTGCGAAAGTTGCTTAAAGACTACGATCGCGGGCCGCGGCGCTTATCCACTACGCCACCGAGCTACTCCATCCGTTACTATTATTTAATTAATCGAAAATAACATTGTGACTAATCGAAAATAACATTGTGATAGATTATATGTGGAATAGAGATGTTCCCGCTATGTAGTATTCTGTGTTTTCCAACATACTTCTCGGTCTAAATCAAAATAAGTTGTGTATATCATTTAGACCGAGAAGTTTTTAACTAATTAAATGTGCACTGATTATACATTTTTCCTTTTAATATACTACCGTGAAGAAGTATAAATGATTCAGTCTACAAATTTGATCTAGATCATTGTGGGTATTTGTAACTGTTATACCAATGGTAATTATTTAAATATTTTTATATGTTTAGAATTTTGATAGTGTTAGCTCAGTAGTGAGAAAAGTCTCACCTATATCTCTGAATGCTCCGCACACTCTCTCACATGCCTCCTCGCTATAGAAGACTCCACTCCGGCGACAGATCCGTCCAGAGGGTGCGTTGTCGTGTACGACACACGCGTGTTGACTTACATCCAAGAACCAGACCGGCCCTGCTTCCTGTTCCACGCACTCTTCATCTGCTGTAGGTGATGATAGACATTCGGGGTATAATCCTTCAGCTGGCTGTTGAGATAAATGGAAGAGTTATTTATTTTTTATAGTTTGGGCGTGCAGCTTCATCCCATTAAAATATTTATTAAGCTCATACGCTGGCTTAAGGTGTCACCATATGTGTCGATCGACTGGGTTAATATAGAAAATGAACTTTTCTGTTTTCTCTCAGATCTTTGTTTCGGATTTCCATAATATATTGATTTCGAATCTAAGCAATGTTTAATAATGTGTTTAATATTTATATGTTTATTCTAATCTTGAAAATCTGTAGGACAAACGTTGCTAAAGTACCAATAAATAAATATTTGAATAATTAATAAGAACTCACAGGCGCCAAAGTAGTTGTGGCTTTTGTGGTAACGGCAGGAACATCTGGTGCGCCTGGGCCTGTTCTGCAACGACTTTCGCAAGCCTCTCGTGAATCGAACCTATACAAAAATAATCATTAATATTTTGCTTATATAAAAAAATACAAAGATAACAGTGTGAAATATTATATAATGGTGACCTGTTTCCGTTGCCATTGCAGCCGCCATACGTGAATTGACTGCAAGAGTCTGATGAGGGGTCATAGAACCACTGCATAACAGATGAATCGCACGGACCTTGTAGCATCGGCAACTGGCAGATGTCTGTGACAGACAGTATATACTTTAAAGGCATATGACTAAATAATTTATAAAATTTAGAAAAGCAAAAACCTGTGTGAGAGTATTGAAACTTAAAGATAAAAGGGTTGGAAAGGTCTGCGTTGCTATTTTTTATTACACCAGTGACCAGACACTCTATTGTGAGACACGACAAACTCTAGAAACGCCTTGTTTACGTCCAAATGTCACTTTCTCGGGGTTAAGAGTGAGATGTCGTATGGGCCAGAGAAAAGTGACGAAAACATCTAACCGTATCATCGCCATCTTTCATTCATTTCATTTTCATTTTACATGCAAATATCAATTTATTAATTATGCAAAATGTGCGGATAAGCCATCAATAGAAGAAGAAGGCAAAAGTGACATTTGAGTGTAGACAAAAAGTTCACGAGTTCATAATGCTACGCGTGCTGTACTATAATTAGCGTAAAAGCTTTCGCACTGAGATAAAACAGGCTATACTGCTATAGCAGTGAACGTTTATTATTAAAATCCGGATTGTGTGTGGTAAGCGACACCGATCATACGGCGCTTACGCTCTTATTCTCGTGAGCAATCAGTGTACCGCACGAGAGTACACTGATTGCTATTAATGTGCTCATTATTGTTGACCAAGACGCAAAAGGTATATTGCATTGTTCGAGGGCCTTTATTACGATGTAACTAATGAATAACAGTTATATTTGGCATCTGAAAAGAGCTTATACAATGAAGTTTGCTTGTTGTAATTCATGCAAAGAGGCACCTATGAGGGTATTGGCGAGTTCTATGTGCAATAAAAATTATCACACGCAATGTTTATGTCCAATGGAAAAGAGAGAAAAAAAAACAGCAGAGTATATAAAATCTTGGGTATGTCCAGATTGCTCTTTGACCACGCCTAGGCAACGTACGAGGGCTAATACACCCATTCTCAAGCTCTCAGTGAAGTAAGTAATGTTACCTTACGTGCCAGACCTGTATCCATTTCCAAGCGGGATGATGGGGATTCATCAGTGACAAACGGCGCCCTTCGAGAATTTCAAGATTTCTTTATGATATGATCGATAAGGCGGTAGAAGATGCAGTCTCATTGCAACTCAACCGAATCATGGAACAAATTACGGAAATTGGAAACTCCCTGTCGTTTTTTAATAGCCAGTTTGAGACCTTGAAAAAATGTTAAGAAGAAAACTCAGTGTTGATAACTGGAAGCAGAAAACTCAGAATTCTCCAAAACGGTACGTGACCTCTCGACGCGATTAAACCTAGCAGAACAGCACCAGCGAGAAAGTAACGTAGAATTTCACGCTCGAAATTAGGACAGTTCGGGATCGCATACCCGTAGCAAATCCAGCGAGAAATCGGACAGATAACTGATGAATTCACACCCTGATGGGAAAGTGCATGTGAGGATGTTTGGGTGACCGCAGAAATTGATTTTAAACGTTAACAGAGAAACATAGTGATTTGTGCCGTCTCCGCTTAACTTTAACACGTTATATATATTTTTAGAAAACACTAATAAAGTATTGGATGGTGTTGCTTATGCTGCCGTTCTCAGCGAAATGAATGCGCTCTAGTTGATTTTCTATACATATGTAAATATTTTGTTTCAATACAACAATTTACATAATAGCAATGGAAGAATTTTAGATTTGATCTTCAGCAACATGTCAGATTATTCAGTTACGTCTCTCTCAGACTTATTTAGTAAAATAGCCCATCACGCGAGCACCCTTCTTTCAATTGACTGTTTGGATTGTTACTTTCTTCGCAGCAGTACCAATACAAAATACAATTACTTCAAGGCAGACTACAAAATAATTGTAGGCGAACTAAAGAGTGTGGAGTGGGATTCTATGTTCTCTAAATGTAGCGACTGTAAGGCAATGGCAAATGTTTTTAAAGCGTACTTGTAAAAATGTCACCGTGAAAAAACTATACAAGACTTAGGAGTGACATTAGATAGTAAATTATATCTTAATGTGTACATAGACAATATCACGAATAAGGCTTATAAAATTTAAGGGATCGTTAATTCTACTAATCGTCGCTTATATACAAGACCCTTGTTCGCCCTTAAATAAAATATGCCCATACGGAACCCATTTTATAAAAATAAATTAATTTATTTCTCACCACAAATGACATAATATAATAATAAATATATAATATATATATAATAAAATTTTAGCGAATGTTCAGAGGAAATCCTTGCGTTGTATGCATTATAAGTGTTTTGGTGGCAGGTTATTGTATCGACAGTTCCTACTCAAATATTATTGTATAAATTTAGAACAAAGACGTCTATTTCTAGAAGCTATATTACTATATGACATATTCCGAAACCGCTATGACTGTAGACCATTGACAAATAAATTTCCAACAAAATCTCACTGCCGTAGCATAGCAATCGAATGCATGATACTTACAGCAATAAAATTAACGTAATTGACAATTGGCTTAGGCAAGAAAAATTAGTTTAGAAAATATACATTGGAAGCGTTTTAGTAGTATATTTATAGTAGTTGATTCTATTTTAATCAGCCCCACTGTAATTGTAATTATAATTATTAGAGTAATTAGTGCTAAACGGTGCTGGTGGCACAACTAGTATGCCATTATGTATTGTATTGTATTCACATGCTGTTTACCATTTAAACTTATTAGCAATCTACTGAAGAATGTTGTTATATATATGCTGTTGGTTGTCCATATTAAATAAATTAATAAATACAATTAAATCAAACAGTTACTATCTAAGAAAAAAAAAATTCCTCAAAAAGGCACATGGAAATTCTTATAAGAAATGATACAAAGCATTTGATCTTCGAAATCTAAATTTTTTAGGATCTCATTTTTAATTGTATGTTACATACCTTGTATGTTTCCACACGTGTACTGGCAGTAGTCTTCGTCGGGGAAATTATTCTGATTACCACCGCATCCTCCATAGCTGAATGGCACACAAGCTCCACGCTCGGAGTCGTATGCCCAACGTGACACGAGATTGGTACATGGACCCGGGTCCACACCCAAAAAGCAGATGTCTGAATGCAATAAATAAGTAAAAATAACTCTTTGAAACCACTTTTACTTTAAAAGGTGTTAACAGTAGCCAAATTAATATGAATACAGAATAGCGAAATTAAGAGATAAAATTTCAAAGTTTACAAATTTCAACTTAATTGTGCTAGTTCACCTTGTTTGTGCCGCAATTAGGAAATGAAGAAATAAATTGTACATATACTATACAACAGATATTATTTCATCGTAATCGTAGAGTTTAGGCAGTTCATACCCTGTGTGCTAGATGGCGGTGGAGTTGCAGTGGTGGGGGCAGGCGCGGTGCACCTGGCCTCACATTCACGTTCATTCTCGAATCGGTTGCCGTTGCCTCCGCACCCGCCGTAGTAGAACGGACGACATCTGATAATATTTTATGTTATAATATATTCTACTCTTTATATCGTTTTTAACAAAGCGACCACCTATACGCTATATGGAAGAGAAGAAAACTGTATGTAGCACAACTAAAAACGGAATGGACTTCATTAATTTATAACGTAAGGAATGGAATGAGCCGAGAATATTTTGAACAAATATCTAAAGAATCATTAATTTTTGTGTAAATAAAACCTGATTATTTAGTGGAAATATAATAATGGTATAAAGTAAGAGTTAAATTGAGCTAATATAATTTTTGCAGAAATTTAATTTACCTGTTTATACTGGAATCGAAGAACCATTTCTCGACATATTGATCGCACTCTCCGGTCATCGAGGGTAATGTACAAATGTTTTCCATAGCAGCTATACAAACATGAAAAAAAAAACATTGTATATTTACTTGTTGCAATTTAGAATACACTTAAAATACGAAGGTAAGAAAGCATTAAAAATATATGATTCTTTTAAAATTTATCATTAAGTGATAAGTATCATGTTACTAGCTAGTTGAGTCCAAATAACTATGCAACCAACACATACCAGGAGCTGTGACCGTTGGCCTGGGTCGCGGCGTAGTGGTGACCACTTTCTCGGTACACTGATTCTCGCATTCCTGCTGAGTTGAGAATCTATTCTCATTGCCACCACATCCACCATAGTAGAACTGACGGCATCTGTTACAATTAAAACCGCAATCTGTATTTAAGGTTTTTGTGGGCGCCAATTGTAACCTGACTCTTGAGTTTTATCTATTAGAAGCTTTCTGCCAGCGGTTTCGTCTGTATTTTATTCGTCAATCGATCGTCAAAAATCTATTCAGAAATTTTTGCGTGAAAGAATAGCATAATATATCCATCCTCACAAATTTAAGCATTTATTATAATAATGAGATAGAAAAAAATGTCTTTTATGTAATATTAACATATTTTTTTATTATTAGACGTTGTTAATTATAATAAAATTAATTTTGACTATTTTTTGTTAAAAAAAATGTATAACCACTAATAGACTCACCTTTTGATTGCAGTATCATAGTACCATTTCTCCGAATAATCTGCACACTCTCCAGTCAGAGCAGGTAATGTACAAATATCTTTCACTGCAAAAGTAGTAAATAATTTTTTTGTCAACGAGATGTTTTTGCAGGCACATTACATGTTATATGATCATAAATATTAAAATGTACCGATTCTATTATCAATAGGAGAACACCGAAAATTCATCTAAATAATAGTTTTACGGTCAGTTGCACAAACGTCCATTAAGGTTTAATGACTGTAAGCTCTAATGAATGTCAAATTTGTATGGGTAATGTAACTTTAAATTAATGACAATTTTAATGGACATTTGACGTTTGTGTTAGAAAAGTAAGTCAAAATTCAAGCAAGTGTTAAGAAGTTGTTACTGTAAGAAATGTTGTTAATCACACAAGCAAAATTACTGATTTACTGCATTACAAGAAGTAAGTAAACAGTTTGATTCCATTATGTAAGTAAACAGGCATTTTTTAATTCCAAATAAATATTAATCCTTACCATTTCAAACAAAACAATCAATAATGTGCTTCCATTAGGAGTCCGGCCTATTTCTCCTAAAGTAACTGGTGGACGATATGCTAGTTAGCTATCAGCTTTTCTCATAAGTACATTTTTTAATATCACTCTCACAAAAAATTAAGTTGAATCATAGTTCGACTGTCTTTTGAAGAGCAGAGACTTACCATATAAACTCGGGCAAGCATCTGCGCAACTCCTCTCGGAATCGAACCTGTTGCCATTGCCTCCGCAACCAGTGTAGTAGAATGGCATGCATCGATTCTCAGTCTGACTGAAGCTCCAGAATGGTAGTTTGTCCGTACAGTTGCCGGCTTCTTGAGGCTCATTACATTCGGCTGTTGTGTAACCATTTGTTAGTAAAACCCTTCTCCATAGACAATTTTGGTATTTCAAGCTTGATTTGCAATAATAATACAAATCATAAGACTTGCTTTATCACACTGATATAAGTTTGTGTTTATAAATAGGTAATCAGATAAATGTACATATTCCAATCTAAATACCAATGTCTATGAAAAAAAACCATTCTGTTAGATTTAACTACAACCACAGCCCAAACATACAGATACACTTTATTCAATTGTTAAAGAAGAAAAACCATGCTATGTTGAAAGGTAAGAAAAACATGCATTAAGAAGTTATGTTTTAGAAATGGAAATCAATTTCAATTCCAAGTCTTGACCCCATAAAAGTATTGAAAAAGATGATATGTACAGAGAAGGATTTATAAATCTAGACCTTATAATATTTATCAATCAAAATTTAGTTTTAATGGGCGTTTTGGTATACTTACGTTGCGGTGCACCGGGTGGATGACATCTATGAAGACAGGCGGCTTCAGAGCCGAAGCGGTTTGTATTTCCACCGCACCCGCCCCATGTGAACTGCTCGCACTGACGTGACTCACTGTTGTAGCCCCACCGAGGGAAATTGCCCGCACATGGCCCATTGTCGATCGGCAAGGCGCATTGGTCTGTCAATTGCCCAATATGTAATGCAGACAACTTCTTGTCTCAAATTTACTACTATTTTTATAAGGTAAGTGAATTATATTTACTGTCGCTCTTGGCGGGCTCACACTGAGCCTGGCAAAGTTCTCTCGTGTCGAAATTGTTTGCGTTGCCGAGACATCCTCCGAATATAAACTGCCCACATTGCTCCCGTTCAGAATCGTAATACCAACGTGGGTGGTAGCCTACACATGCTCCCTTCACCTTTGGTAAGTTGCACGCATCTGGATAAAAATTGCTTTTGTGAATCTTTAAAATATAAAGGCAAGGTGTGTACTTAGTACTTGTCGTGAGATTTGAATAGTATTTGTTTTTTATTTTGCAATAGTCGAAAGTGGAATTAGTAGTAAAGTTTCACACTTCAAACTTTACTACTAATTCCATGTAGTAAAGTTTGTAGTTTGTTTTAAGGATGTAGTATTAAATCCTTAAGTGAAAGAAATGCTGAATAAATTTGTGTTATAAAATATGAAAAAATGTAATAGGTAATGAATGCTATTTGACAAATGCAAATTAAGTAGTCAACCTGGAGACAAATAATACAGCTTCCTACCATATGAGGGAAGATACCTTTCGGTGAAGGTTGCACACAGACGTCCTCGCATTCCTCCTTGGAAGCGAACCTGTTACCGTTGCCCTCACAGCCTCCATACCAGAAGCGAGAACAGCCGCCATACTCCATATCATAGTACCATAACACAGAGTAGTTCGTGCATGTGCCACGGTCCGTAGACAGACTGCACGCAGCTGGGAACCAAAAAACACTTTTTTGAAGAGCAAATTTTTTAAATCAAATTCAATAAAAGATAAACAATACCAGCAATAATACAAATAAAATGTTATGTAATTTGTCTTCGATCAACAATTTTGTATAATGTGTGTCACCTTTTCACCTAGAAATACAGTAGGTATGCTTATACGTAGTAGGTATTAAAAAGAAAGTGAGTTGAGCACACCTTGTCTGTTGTCCGGTTTATCAGTGCAGCCGAGGAATTTGGTGCCACTAGCGGGCGTGACTCCATCAGGGCAGCAGCCATATTTGGAGGTGGCGCAATCGCAGCCCGCGTGGTTTGGTCCAGTGGCAGGTGTGACGCCATCACCGCAGCAACCGAACTCAGTCTGTTCACAGAGGCAGCCCTGACGGCCGGGCCCTTTAGCTGCGGTGACTCCATCGTCGCAACATCCGAACTGGAACGTACTGCAGTCACAGCCCTCGTTGTTCGGTCCAGTTGCTTCCGTGTGTCTGTTTAAGTACATTAGTATTTGACAAGTAATAAGATACAATATGCGGAAATAGACTGGTGGTAATTTCAGCTTGTAGTAAATTTCTTCACATGTATTTAGGTAGCAGAAAACCTGTTTTTAAAATAATTTTGTGCATTTAAAGTTATAGTTTACCTGTCCGGACAACACCCGTGTTGTGAATGTTCACAGCCACAGCCGTCGTTGTTAGGTCCGCGAGCGATGGTGACATTGTCTGGACAGCAACCGTAGTGAGCGTGTTGGCAACCACATCCTGTTTAGAATTAAAATAGTTGGTCATATGACTGTAATGCATTTTACGTATTCGTTTTATTATGAAAAATTTGATAGGTGATTGAAAATCGTAAATCTTTCAAATTATGGAGATATCTCTTACACATCTCTTGCAGTTAGTAAGAGATATAAGTAAGAGAATAATCAACTTTTTAAAATATTTATTTAAAGAAATTTTCATACTATATATAATGTACCTCGGAAGTCAACAATTAGCATAGAGAGATACTTATACAGTATAAAAGACATGGAAAATTCATTATTTTTGATTAATTTTGCATTCACAATGCCATACTGAAAATTATTCTTAATACAAAATGCTTTTTGGGATCAAGTGGATTTTTTAAGCATTTCGTATTTAGAATAATGGAAAATTCAGTTTCTGTTTTATTACTAGCAAATTATTTTGATAGACAAGATAATGAAAATCTTAGTTGGTATTAAAACTAGCAATTCACGTGATACCTTCCAGATGCGGTCCTTCTGCAGGCTTGAAATTGTCTGGACAGCAGCCGAAAGCGTATAGTAGACAGCAGCCCTCGAAATCGTAACCGTGTGCAGGAGTTTCTCCGTCCGGACAACATCCGTACGCTGATGAGTTGCAAGACATCACGCAACCCTCCATCTGGACTCCTTCAGCTGAAGTTAATAAATTTAATATTGATCATTTGCTAAGTGCTGGATTTGATCTCTACTTTTTTCAGATTTATCCAAATGTATCGATGATAGGTGTATATGGTTAAATGTATGATTACGTTTATTAAATGAACAAAAGAAACACTGCATGTTTACAGTGTTTTTTTATTATTTTGTTGGCAGTCTCCTTAGTTTTTTTGAAATGTTTTGTTTGTTCTGAGCGTGTCGTTGTTATGAGATAATTATGATCTGTTTTATATTACATAACTCAATGCTAGACATAAAACAATCATAGTATAAAAATCCCTCTCCTATTGAATGTGAAATTCTGACTTTGGTTTATCGACCAATGAAATGCCTATGGGAATCACTAATGTATTTGATCAGACATTAGCTGAATTGAAGTCCAAAACAAAAACATTTACCAGTAGATACGCCATCAGGGCAGCAGCCGAACTCAGTGGCGTTACAGGGGCAGCCGTCTCCGTCGGGTCCAGGCGATGCTGTGCTGTTATCGAAACAACATCCGAACTCTGAATCCTTACAATTCTTCGCTTCGGCTCCAGGCGATGGTGGCGCTACCAACACAAAAGTACATAATGTACACACAGCAGCGTGTCAAGTTGCCACAACATGTGTTTGGGCAAAACAATTTGACCTTTAAGTACATTTTAAGGCTTAAAATCAATTGGAGTAATGGGTTATTTACTTTGTTTACTATGTTGCTCGTTTGAATGCCAAAAATAAATTACTTCTTAACTTAATGGAGTATAAATCGGGGTTCAATATGTACCTGTTTCTGGGCATCCCTGTTTCTTTGGTCCTGTAGCTTGCGTCTTGCTATCATTGCAGCAACCGTATCTATAAACGGAACATATTTCATAACATAGGTAAGGTACCTCTAGGAAATCAAGCACTGCAAAAAAATATCCACAATGAGGTGATGGATTTTGCATATAGCACACGTTAGTATGAGAGATTGGGTTGATATTTGCAGCTACATCTGTAACATTTCAGTTGATTTTTCTAGTTAGACTTGTCAGGCGTAGTATTAAGGACTCCGCTCAGATGTATGGAGACCCTCCATTCATTTGTGTGTAGTCTACAGGTTGAGAAACGCTGCACTAGAGAAAAAAAAAATTGCGTAACCAAGACATTAGCAAATCGGGAGTATTTTTCACTATTAAAACAATTTCGTTTTTGTAATTTTAAATTATAATGATATTTAAATAGGGTCATTGTAAATGAAAAAACACCGTATTACCATACGACGGTATGGCATTAGAAGAATAGATGGTAAAGGATATTTTTGTTGTGATTGTTTTTTAACTAACTTACTAAAGAGCTCTCAAAATCTGTGGTAATGAAAAATGCTATGCGCTGGGTTTTGCCAAATATATGTTGGTCCTTTATTCGCTATATGTCTCACAATAATCAGACTAGTACTATAATATATTGCCCGTCGTAAAATTTGTTTCAGTTTCTGAAGTGACTTACTTGGAGGATTTACAAAGTGGTGGGGGTGGAGGACATCCTTCCTGATCGTTGCCCTCAGCAGCAGTCTTGTTATCTGATTTGCAGCATCCGAACAATGTGTCGGCGCACGGCGGTATGGGACAGCCTTTTTCCTTTGGCCCGGCAGCAGGTGAAACTCCGTCAGGACAACAACCGAATTTAGTCTCGGCACAAGTCTTCGGATTTGGACATCCTAAAAGTTACAAATTCATTTATAAAATCTGATGTGACCATTCGGCAAATGATGTTCTATATTAAACTTGAAAGGTTTAAAATGTAGTATTTGCCATCAAATACTACGTAATAAAGGACTTGGTCACTCAAAGCTTAAGAAAGAGATTTTAAGACAGCACTTTTTATGAGTATTTAAAGGAAATATATTAAATATCCGGCTGGTATTATGAAATCTTAATATATTAATTAACCTTCGTCGAACGGTCCAGCCGCAGGAGTCTTCTTGTCGGGACAGCATCCGAATTTGCTTTTACTACACTTGGCGATTCTGGGCTTGCATTTCGGTTTCTTAGTTACCAATTCGATTGTGGTCGCCCAATCCCATGGAGCTGCATAGTAAAAAAAATAATTTTAGATTTGATTAGATATGAAAATATAATAGAAAAACACTTGTTTAAATTTGATTGAACTCACTTCTGCCTGTCGATTCCTCGCCAGTTTCTGTAGAAGTTTCTGAAGTGCTCTCAGTAAATACAGATTCTGAAATAATAATAGTATCTACATACTTAAGTATAAAAGGCGAGTAATAAAATTTATTATTCATGTTTGTGTGCAGGTTTGTATCTTATTATATCTTTATCGGAGCTTTCTAAAAAGTATTATACAGTAGATTTATTTATTTACCCTCTGTAGCACCGGATTCTTCCGTTGCTATGGATTCGGTCACCGTAGATCCTGTCTCGGCAGTCTCATCTGTTCCTGAAGATTCTGTCGAAACAGATTCCTCAGTAACGCTTTCAGACGTGGAACCTAATAAAAATAATATTTTTAGTTCTTTTTTATACTTCGGTTTTTGCTTTAATTAAAGTATCATTATAATATAGGAAAACAATAAATAGTTCCATTACAAAACATTAAAAAATTTAACGTAGATAATTTATGAGACACTTTAAAATAAATAATTTAAAAAAACACATAAGAAAGAATCGTATGGTAGTATTTTATTACCTGTTTCTTCAGTGGAACCCGAGACATCTGTAGATTCTACTTTAGTGGATTCAGAAGAGCTTGATACTTCTGTTGTGCCTGATTCAGTTGTTTCTGCAGCGGAAACTTCCGTCGAACCAGACTCAGTAGTAGAACTGGCCTCAACAGATTCCATTGTAGAACTTTCTATTCCCAAAGATTCACTAGTCTCAGTAGAGCCAGACTCAGTCGTTGAACCAGACTCAGTAGTGGAACCAGGTTCTGTAGTTGAACCAGAATCCGTAGAAGACCCGGATTCAGTAGATGAATATTCGCTACTAGGACTAGATTCTGTAGATGATCCAGACTCAACAGTTGAGCTTGATTCAGTAGAAGAACCAGATTCTGTGGTTGAACCTGATTCTGTGGTAGAACCTGATTCTGTGGTTGAACCTGATTCTGTGGTTGAACCTGATTCTGTGGTTGAGCCTGATTCTGTGGTTGAACCTGATTCGCCAGTAGAAATAGACTCAGTTGTTAATTCAGTTGTCTCTTCAGTCAATTCTGATGCTTCAGTCTGAGTTGATTCAGATTCAGTGCTACTACTAGTTTCTGTTGAAATATTCGACTCAGTTGTTTCAGATTCTGTAGATTCAGTTTCTTCCGTTGAACTAGATTCTTCAGTAGTTTCTGATTCAGTAGAGCTTGATGAAGAGTTTACATTGGTCGACGAACTCTCCTTTGTAGAATCTGATGATTCAGTGGACGAACCTTCGTTTGTAGAACCTTCAGACTCAGTAGACTCAGTCTCATCGGTAGATGACTCTGTAGTTGACAGATCTGTATAATCAGACTCAGTGTAATCATAAGATTCTGATGAGTCAAATGATGTGGAAACAGAAGATACAGAAGCGGCTGTTTCTTTTCTTATAGTTGTTTCATCGGATGCAGTAGAGTTCGATTCCGTTGTCATCTCAGATTCTGTGGCAGCCGATGTGGTGGATTCATCAGTGGCTTTGGTATCATCAAGTTCAGTACTTGATTTAAAAACTGTAGAAGACTCAATTAGAGTAGATTCTGTAGTGGAGTCACTTTCTGTTGAACCCGTGTCACTTGTTTCAGTCTCCATACTAGAGTCAATGGTCTCATCGGTGGATCCGCTCTCTGCTGTAGACCAGTCCTCGTCTGTTGAAAGTGTGGCATCGGTGCTACTGAAACCGGATCCTTCAGTGAATAGAGTGTCTGAAAACAAAAACCAAACCATCAAATATTCTTATATATATACTAAAAAATATAATATATTGTAATATAATAATATAAAATATAGCAATATTTATAAACTTACCATCACCTGATCCAGTATGAGTTATAAATTCAGATTCAATCTCTGAAAAAGGAAGATAATGATGCTTAAATTAAGTTACTAAAATAAAATCATTAAATAAGCGATTTTACTGTAATACCTGAAGTGCTTGGACTGTCACTGAACATCATGTCTTCGATCTGTAAATTAAAATATTTCGAAATGGTCAAATGAGTACGAATAAAAATATATAATTATTACCGCATAAAAACATTACTTTAATCCCCTGAAATAAATAAAAACTATCTAAGCTAGTACCTATTCAATAAAACTATTCAATAAGAAGTATAGTCAAACACACGAAAGTTGGTTAAATACTACTGTTTTTAAATAATCCAGCCCACATATATTCAACATTATTTTTATTTACAACTAGCTGACCCGACAGACTTCGTCCTGTCAAAAAGATTTGTAATGTGGCAGTTCTTTTGCCTACGTATTTAAAAAAATTCTCTTGAACAGAACCGTCACCCTGGTGATAGGGCGTTGTGAATAAAAAATAATTAAATAAAACATATATAAGGATTTAAAAGTAAGTAATCGCTTTATTGTTAATCATGTGAATCATAATTATTATTGCAATGTATTAATAGTAATAGTATTAAATATAGAAAAAAGAGATTTTTATGATCATAAAAACACATTACACACAACAGCATTATAAAAGTAAACTATTCGAATTAAAAAAATATATAAACATTCTCAAGGAAAAATGCTGGAAGAATCCATCTACCTGTACCCCGGAATGGGACTCGAACCCATTCGCGATCCAGGGACTGCTCTAACCAATGAGCTATCTAGGACCCAACAGCTTTGCTACTACAGAGCGTATTTTCATCAATGTTCCGGCAATACATGTAATGACGTGGAAACTGATGCATTTTATCTCGCGTGCCGAAACTAATACAAAAGAAACGCGAGTTTCGGAACGCGACATTAAACTCCTCCAACTATGTATTCTGTGCTCCAACGCACACACGCACATTGTTTTGTGATAGATATGATCTTTGACGTTAGGAACACACCTACATTGCTTAGACAACAGTGAGTGCTTGTAATTTAATATGAACTTTATACCATAGCAATAAAGCTCAAATTGACTACGTTTTAGTTACAAATCATTTGTATGGGAAAAAGAAAAGGGCTATTTTTAGGGTTTTTCCAGCAATAATTCTAATTTTTCTCGCCGTAAAAACCATCCTTGAACTTCAACGAACATTTTAAAAAAAGATTTGGCCAAATTGGTCGAGGCGTTGTTGAGTTATGCGCTTACCAACACATTTTGCGATTCATTTTTATATATATAGATAATTCAACTGAAATATAGTGTCATGCAAACTGTTCCTTCATAATGTTTTTTATCTTGTTTACTATTTATTTCAGTTTATAAATACTACAAACTTTTATATAGTTGAGGAAGTAATTCAAGTTAAATTTAACTGGTATATAATATTTTTGGTTTTATAAATGGTTTTAGGTTCTTACACCGGTGTCCTCAGCGGCGCCAACTTCGGGGTACTCTGCCTCTTCTTCATCGCAATCTTCGTAGTCATAATATTCATCCATTATCGGCGTCGAGTTCGGATTGACTGGCAGCATCTCGTCTGATGAAAGCCAAACAATTTACTTTGAAGTTTATATTGAGAATCAAGCAAGATGGCATCTATCTTATCGAACAAAATAAATGAGAAAGTATACTTATTTTAAAATAAGCAAGCCGTTTAAGTAGTTTAAGGATTCTGGAGACTGATTATTCCCATTATAACAGGCACTAGTATTTGTTTCCGACTTATCTAGGTTCGATTCCCAGGTTTTCCAGGTTTGATCGGCTGTATGTAGAAAATAAACTTTTTCTCAGGTTTGGGTGTTATAGCAACTTCTCGAATTTCCATAATACAAGGGTTTTTATCTCCTTTATTATGTCTCATACTTTTGAGTTGATAATTTTCAGTAACAATAAACATCCTACTTTTAGTATGTATTTCTATATTATCTTAAGTGTGGGTGTTATAGCAACTTTTCAAATTTCCATAATACAAGGGTTTTTATCTACTTTATTATGGCTAATACTTATAGTTGATAATCTTCAGTAACAAAAAACATCCTACTTTTAGTATGTATGGTGCTTCAGAGTGCCATCTTGTTGGCAAAATTATTACGAAATCATAATATCGCTACTCAGGCGGTATTCGTTTGTTTCTTGATTGAATAATAGTACGATATGGAAAACATAATTCGATTATTGCGAGTTTTCGGCGCATATGCGATTGTACGATATTACCTTCGTTGCAGGCGTGCAAGTTGCATGACTGCGTGGAGTCAAGAACGGTATCTATGTCGCAGTCGTTGGCGGCTGCCTCTCCGTGTAAACACATCACGCGACGGTGTTGTTCACCGCCGCCACACTCCTTGGTGCACTACACACATAAAATTATCATCTATTCAATAATATTATTCAGATTATGTTAGCGAAAGAATCCATATTAAAAGTAAAAATATTTTACCTCCGTCCATGGTCCAGCGAACCATTTCGACGGGCACATGTCTTTAGGCACCTCGCAGGATTTCGTGTCGTTATATTTTGTGGTACCATTGCAACGCTCATCATCTACTTTCAAAACAGACGCGCCATCGAATAGTCCACAGAAGACGCGTCGTGATTGTATACCTGTACCGCATTCTGCTGAACACTGTTAGTAAAGAAAGGAAAAAAAGTTATGAATTTAAAAATAAATGAATACTACACAATATCCCATACTCAAATCTAAAATCTGATATCTTAATACTGTTCAGATTTCAATTTCAAGTAGCTAAAAAGTGTATTATGGAAATCTGAAGCAATGAAGGAACGAATAACAACCACCCAGATTTGAAACATTTTATCATTAACTATTAGTGCTGTAAAAATTATTACTTGCAATAAAAGTCATCTATTATTAAAATTTTCCTCGTCGATTTTAGGTGTTTGACTTCCAAATAATGAGTATCGTGTAAAATTAAGTACATTATGGAAATGAGTATTTACTTTACTCCATTGCGTAGCGTACCACTGCACCTCGCACGCGGGCAATTTGGTTTTGTCGCAGGCTTCCTCTAATACTGGAGTCTTGTGATATGCGCATAAAGAATCGTTCACTATTACCGAGTCTTTCATAGCGCACACTGCTGTCCGTGTACGCACTTTTGATAGGCAGTTGTCGCACTGAAGGAAGAAGACAATTGTTAATAATAAAATTAGCCATGTAGTTTATCAAAGTAAAGAGAGATGTTTAGAATTAATCTTCTGAATAATTTTGTGACACCAAAAACGTTAGCCAAAATATCCAGTCTTTGGTAAAAGTATCTGATGTTCGTTAAATACTAAAATCAAGAATATTTTATTGGCTTCCTGGCCGCGATGCTTTAATGTCATCTATAATAGTAAACTTAAAAAACAGTTTATTTAAATTTCATAATAGTCGATATGTTACACAGGTAGAGTAAAGTACGTAAGCCATTGATAAGTATAAGCATGCACATGTTACTCACTCCGCTCCAATCGGAGAGCACCCAGTCGACTCCATCGCAGGGATGAATGAGACATGTCTGTTCAGTATCTGGCTTTTTGTCTAAGCATTGATCGTCACTTAACACCATTACGCGACCGTCTGTCTTCTGGTAGCATACCACTTGACGAGTCTGTTTGCCTTCACCGCATAGTTTATCGCACTGCAAAAGACAAAGGGAAAGACGTTTACTAAACATGCTATAACAAGCAGAATAACTATAGCAGCATAAAAAGTAGAGGAACTGCAGTTGAACATAACTTACAGGTTTCCATGGTCCTGTGAACCAGATTGGACAGGAGGCGTTTTGGTTGCATTTTTCAAATAGTGGCGGCTTTGGACCAAGTAACTCGAAGCACTCCTTGTCCGCTACTATGGATGGGTACCTGAACACCATGAATGTAATAAGAACAGTGTTTTCCAACATTTCTTGAACAACACAGTTATGTTAAATGAGCTTTTACAGTCGTACTTTGAGAACAATATAAAAATATATGCAATTGAGTGCTAATATGAAATTAAAACTTTTTAAAATTTTATCTATCTAGTATTTGTTACGGATAGAACAATGGGCGATATAAGATCCATTTATTTTTAGATAAAAGCCCTCAAAGGGATTTTATATGTAATTCATACGAGTGTGCTTACTCAAGTACAGCATCTGACCCAACTCTAGTTAGCCTACTGACCCATTCGCGATGATCTTCTCGCAGTGGACCTGTCTAGACCTGGTGCCGCCATCACCGCAGTGCTTGGAACAAGGACTCCAGGGACCGGATACCCAGCGCGCGGGACACGCATTAGTATTACAGGTCTGGTTAACTGCCGGTTTAACTATGGTCTCGCACAATTGATCATCTACCACTTCCAACTCTTCGCGAGATCGGCATGTCACGTTGCGATATTGAATTCCTGTTGCAAAAAAGAATTTATAACAGAGCAATGAAGTATTTGATATTTAATTCAAGAATTTACGATTTTCTTAGTTGACTGTCAATGGCGTTACTATTATAATTTCATGTTTTTTATGAATGAAAAGGGTATGTTTTAATTTTTTTAATTACATCAATTAGAAATGGACAAAAAAAATCCAAGTCCGATAGTAATAGTACAACAACATGATACCATTACATATTCTATATTTGCTTACCTCCACCACACGAGACACTGCATGGAGTGAACTCATCGTGCACCCAGTTGTACTGAGCGTTCGGTGGTGGCGCCATTGCAGATGGTACGCTGTACTCATATTCCACACCCACGTTAGGTTGTTGAAGAAGGAGCTGTTGACATTGATAAGGTCATAAAAGCAAATAAAGATAAGGTCATAAGAGAATTATTAAAGCTTAAGGATATAGACATATTAAAATATTTCACACTTACAGAAAGAAGCAGTGGTTCGTTAGTAGGTCCTTGGCAACGTAACTTGTCAGGAGAGGGTAGCCCATCTTGGCTTCGTTCGTAGTGCCATGTTGCACCAGCTATCACGATGCTCCGCGGGAAATCGATGTGATAGTCTCCATTTAGGTAGTATGTGTTGTTTTTTGCTCGTATTGCTAAAGATATATTCATTAAATTGTCCTTAAACTGTATTGCCAACGAAATAATAAATTAAGTGAGTTAACATTAATGCTTAAAATAATTAAAACTAACTTACCTAAATAATTGCTCGATGGTCTTACTTCCGCAATATAAATACTCGTTGCACCCTGAGGAATGAGCAGTATATCGTTGTATCCTATAAATAAAAGTGTTAGTTGTAAAAAAAAGGTTTAACACAATGTTAAGAGACAAATTGATAACTGCTTTAGTATGGTACCGTTTCGTAAATCTTGTGTGTCTAAAAGACCGCTAACGGTGTGGCAGTTGGCGCCGTTGCCACGGCATTCTCGACATTTGTCCTCACGTGCAGATGAGCCCAGCATCATGTCACAACCCACGGGCTGTAACCATATGATGAACTCTTTGTAAAAAAGTCTGGATATGTGTCTATTTGATAATACTTAGTTATCACAGAATAAAAATACAAACTAAACAATGAAGAGGATCTGTTACCTGGCAAGTACCATTGACACAAACGTCAAACGATTCTTCATTGCACCTGGTACCGTCAATGACTTTACTTTTCTGTCTGTAGTAGAACCGTTCACCGCGCGGCATGCAGTTTAGTTCGCAAGGGTTTGGTCCACGCGTATAAGGCACCCATCTGGAAATGCAAAACACGATGGATTAATAGCTCGTGTAGGTAAAGATAGCTCGTACATGTTAAGTACATTTTTTGTTGTTAATAAATTGGCCTGCGCACACATTTTAATAGCTTCAGTAGATTGGATTCAGAAGTAGATAGCAGATAAAGTAATCTAGCTATCTGAATCAAGAAATAAAAACTCCACCGTTCAGAAAATAAAAATACTCACTCATATCTAATGCCTTTGAAAGCTACGTTATCATATTCCGAGCACTGCTCAGCGCGGAAGTCTTTGGAACCCTCGGGACAGTCTTGAGTCTGGCAGGAAAAGTATTTTGTGTCACCTCCTGTGCAGTTGGACTGGCCATCTGGTCTATTAGAAGATAATAGTATAAATTTTCAAATAAACTTTATACGAAATGTAACTAATAGAGGAATATATTAACAAACTATACAAAGTTATGTAAAAAAGTAAAGTAAACGAGCTTAGGTGCTGTTGCAACTATCAACTATTCTAATAAAAATACACATAGAGAAGGATAAAATATATAGGATAAAATACCTAACTTTGTGTAAAAACGTATTATTAAAAGTATGATTTCTTACGTCACTTGAATACATATTCGTTTCTGACTGGCGACACCTCCACCGCATGTCCTCGAACAGGGGGATACGTCTCTCCATTCCCCCCACCCGCCGAACCCTTCGCCGCCGGGAATCACATATGATGACGACAGGAACAAACCCGCGCCCTGCCGTCTATGTCTACTTCGATGTCCATGGACCTTGGGTAAATAAAAAAGACAAAGATTTTAAAAGTTGCTTTGATTAACTTAGGCACGCCGTACTATAATATGTAAATCGAGAACATTCTAAACTTTGATAAACTAAATTGGCGTTAATTTGAATCCCGAACCCTAGCTCGTAACAATATTTATTTTTAAACTTACAAATTTGGCGACAGTGACAATAAAGTATTTTGTAACATATTTTACATTAGCTTTCCGCCAGCGCCCGCGTGATCCCTAGGGAACTGTTAATTACAAATTAAATAGTAAACAATTATTGCTGTTATCATAGCACGTTTTTCATACATATATTTTTGGTATCTTGAAAAGTTTTCGTAGCGCACGCAACGGAAGGCCTCAAGGTTGAATAATTTTCCCCGTTTTTTCCATTATTTCTTCGCTCCTAATAGTTGCAGCGTGATGTTATATAGCCATAGCCTAAATAAATGGTCTATTCAACACGAAAATAATTTTTCAATTCGAACCAGTAGTTACTGAGATAAGCGCGTTCAAACAAACAAACTCTTTATAATATTAGTATAGATTAAAGATATTTTATTTATTTCTTGTTAAACTTGCATTAGATGTCCTTGCTGTTGTTGTTATTTTATTGGCGTTATGTGTATCTATGTACACATTTGTCTTATTGTTAGTGGGTTATTTATTGCTGTGAATTTAATATAATTATATAAAATTAATTAAATTTATTCACCAATTAGGTGGTCTTCATGTTATGGACTGGGGTTCCCAGCTTTTTATAACGCGTTTCTGTTTTATTAATATATTTGTTATTTTGGACTTATAGGTGTCTCTCGATTTGAAAATATTATTCTTCGCGTCCTGGTATGTGATTGATACCTATATTTAATATAAATTTATTTTCTTTGTTCCATTGTATGTTTTTATTAAAAACATATAAAAAATATAAATTAAAAAAAAATGTTACAGTTTATAAACATAACTATTAACATGTCAATTTTTACTATTCAATTTTCTTTATCCGAAATATTTATATATAAATAAATCTTCCACTTCGAACTACACCAAAAAGTTATCGGCTAAAACTTATGGCTTTACGGTACAGCTTTTTTTAACCGACTTCAAAAAAAGGAAATTCTCAGTTTGATCTCTATGTATATACGTTTGTGCGCGATTATCTCGCGTTTGGCTAAACCGATTTTGATGCGTTTTCAACATAGTATTTCTTAGACTTAGGAGAAGATCTAAGTATATTAACTGACAAAAAAAATGGAGGTTCGCCCTTTAACACGTGTTGTATGCGTTGTCCGCGGTTGTCTCGCGAATTATAGAAGCTGCAGCCGGAGATTTCAAAGAAAACCAAAATTTACTTAATACTAATTTAATGAAATAAAATTACATTATATTTCTTAAAAACTAACCTAACTATGTGACCCGATCGATGGTTGATCTAAAAGTGACTCTATTACTCGGATTGCCTCCACGTCCGTTGTTGTTCCACGTGCCGCTGCATCAGCAGTTTTGGTAATATTTCGGTCACTCCAACAATGGGACCGTGTGCAACGATGTTATATGTCAGCAGATTCCTTTAGTGTGTGTGACCCGACTATAACACGCGTATGTCTGAACCGATTTTAACGCGGTTTTCAAAAAAGTTTTACAGTTTTAGCTTTTTATTTAAACAATATCGTATAAAAAGCATGAAATATTTTTTATATGTAAAATAGAACCGACTCAAAGTCGAATAAAGTGAAAAACAATACTCTTATTCAAGAAAATTCTCATTGAAGTCGGGCCTGTCATTTAATTAGTGACCTACAGAAAACCTCCATCCCAATTTAATAGCATTTTCTTGAATAAGACGCTTTTGACATAAGTATTATATTTCACATTTTAAGTTTGAAGGCTGTTTTGTTTTATATATAAAAAAAGCTTTTGTGCGATTATATATTATATGCTATAACAAAATTAGTAATAATAACTAATTATGAGTTCAGAGTATCCGCAGTCTGGCGAATGACTCATACGAAGACGTCCGGCGGCTATCGCGACTGTCGGCACGGCACGGACGAGATAAACGATGTGCTAATTGCCGGCTGATTGTTTTTGTCCACTGTATCGGCTACTAGCGTGATGATATGATTTTTTGCTTATAGTCGGCGCTTAAGTATCTCTTATCTCAGATTTAGCGTACTTTGATGTAGATCACTAACTTGGATGTAGATTTATTTGCTTGGAATCAATTTATTAGAGATGGTTTGAATTTAACCAATTAGGTATATTTAGTGTACTACGAATATTTATAATATTGTGTCTAGTCAGTTGTTGATTTTTCAAGTTGATTTGACGTGAGGTTTACCAATGTAACACATTATGACGGTTATTATCCAACTAGGTACGTACGTACATCAATAATCAGTTTTGGGATTATATTGGTTTTAAAAACTCGTGGTGCCCATCAAATACGAGTTTAATTTTGTTATTTTAATAATCGTGACCAGTCGCAGAGTGACTTATCTGTATGATAAATGGTGGCTCTGTCCGCATACTGGAGCCGTTTCCCGCATACAAAATTGTATGGTTAATGCACTTAAACATCTATGAACGCCCGTGGAGTATTCTGATGGAGAGGTTGCTCTAAAGATGCTATCATGGTAACTCATAAATATAATTATTATTTAATATATAAAGTAATATATAAATATAAAATCCAAGAAAAATAATGACTGAAGCAGTGGTCAACCTTTTTGACTGGCCACTCTTAATATACATAAGTATATTGGATACTAAATGATTTATTTATGTACAGTCAACAGCACTTCAGGTTAAACAAAAACTGTAAAATTATTCTACTTGATTTAAAACCCTATTGCATAATTGATTGAGAAAATTTGGCATATTGTTTGGCCGTGGATATCAGCGTTAATAAAGTAATAGGATCTATAAAAGTACGTGACTCCTTCACGGTGTCTTTTAAACAAATCTTCTGACAACGTATCCCGATGCCAATAAAGCGACTCAATTTTGGATCACGACCAGATTTAAGAAACTCTGATATCAAGGTTTAATTTCGGCTTAAACTCAAAAATCCTTTTTTTCTGTTCTTGTTTTCAATTATTCTTCCGCACTAACGATAGTTAAATAGAAGATATTTTTGCACTTTAATGCATATTGTGATCACAACATGGTATAAAACCGACTTATCGATCGTTCGGAAATGTCTTACAGATAGTTACTAATTCACTTTTAGTTGGTGTCTGACGCAGAGATTTATTTCAAGATTTATTCAAAAGTTGACGAGCCAGAAAAATATATCAAAAGGTAAGGACTTGTCCTATTGGACGTCATTTTTTCATAGAAAATTCTAGTTACTATAATAACTAGTAACGTTCAAGAGGCTCAAGGTAATCTTATAGATTTCGTTTACCAATACCGAGAAAAAAATATTCTTAATGAAAAATAACTCTAAGCACCAAGGACAAAGTGATTCTTTAAAGTATTTTTCATTAAAAAAAATTTCCGGAATTGCATTGTGAATGTAAAAATTGATCAAATATAATAAAATATATACTGTCTTTATGTATGAATGAGGCCTTACGTTGACATGCCGATCACTGCGGGAACCGTCCACTAGTGACGGCGACTCAAACAAAATGTTATGACGATAAACAGTTCGTCTATCTCAATTTTACATTATCACAAAGTCAACCTTAATCCGTTAAGATTAGATTCGAAATAATTTAAAAATATACTGTAACTTGTAACACCGTCGTGTTCATATTGAGTGTTGCAACATTTGACTATTCAGTGCGTGAATAACGAATGATTTTGAATTATAAATGACATCGTATTTGCTTAACCAACACTTAGATTAACGCTCTGCGCTGTCGTAAATAGCTTAGGATGGGGATGCAACGGATGCTCTGCATCGGGATTCTGTTTACTGAATATTAAATTTTAATTAATCCAACAACTTTAATATGTGTTTTGTTAAAATTAATGCCAATGTCCTTTTCAGAATAAAAAGATGCCTTTATTATGTTACGATATTTAGAAATATGTAATTTTTTATAATTTCTGATATTAGTTTTAAAAAAATCTTAACAAATTTACATCTCACGGATCCTCAGTACTTTTTTGGATCTTGGATTTTGACCGTACCTACGACGTCTCTCACCCCAAGCTTCGAAGTCCAGCACTTAAGTTCTCAGTTGTATAATATGAAAACTAATAAATATATCCTAGGTAATTATGAAGGTGTTGTCATCATAAACTGACCTAAACCAAAGGTACGTGCACAAGGTATGTACTACTGATACTATATATAAATAATTGTGTTTTTCTTTGCTTTCTGTATAGATATAATTGAGTGGTACTTTATCAATACACTATTTTTAGTCTTTCTTATTATGTTACATACTGGATTAATATTTAATAATCTTTTAATTCTATTTAAGCACGTGTTTATACTGAAAAAATATTCAGAACAAAGTAAGTATTTTATTGTATAGTATTAATGTCCATAGCAAAACGATTGCAAATGCACGCTCATAAGATATGTTATATACTTAGATGTAATAATAAAACAATTACTTAAGAAACAAATCCGCTGAATTGACATAGGTTTATTGATAATATATGCTGTTGATGTCAATGTTACGTTAATTCATATTGTCTGTAAGCGATATCGTTATTTTAAATGATACGCGTATGTCATTATTTTAACTAATAAAGGCTGCTTACTGTATGTCAATTTCTTCAATTGGTTTACTCCCATTTTATTTGAAAGAACAATATATTAATTGAACGGAATATTACTTTATGTTTTGACAAATTAGGTGTACAGTCAACCGCACGTCAGGCTATACAAAACTGTTAAATTTGGCCACTCGATTTTAAGCCTTAATATACCAGTCAAATTTTTTTGCAAATTTATCATATTGTGGTAACCCCGATGTGTAGCCGTATGTACATATGTGTCATCGTAAAATATGCAAAGTTTCTAATCTATCTCTTTAGATTGTTATAAGTTTTTTAGGTTAAGTTAGATTCTAGTTCCACATGACTCTAGGTACCTATTCTAGGTATATTATTTCATATATTATAAAAATATATTAATATACTTTTAGTTATTTTTATTATTTATTTTTCTAATTTTTATATTTACCCTCAAAATATTATTTCTGAGGAGCTTGATAGCGCAGTGGTTAGTGCGCTCCGTCTGAAATACTGTCGTAATGGTGGTACGGCGTGGTGATTATGGTCCATTCTTCATATTTGATTTGATTCAATTCCATTTATAGGGAAGAGCTGAGCCTCAGGAGTGGGGACAGGCTGGTGATGATGATGATGATGTTATATTTATAATTATATTAGCGACGACGCGACTTCATCCGCGTAAATATAAAGTTTCATGACTTTATCATTGACAATAACGAACTTCCATACAATTTTTCAACTTTTCAACCTTTTTAGTACAAAAACAAAGCAACCTATATCCTATCTCAAGTCAGCTTTTTTTAGAGGATTAAGCGTGGAAGCTTAACAGACCTATTTTCGCTATATAATATTAGTATGGTATAATTATATGTGTTGGTGACCCGCTACGCAAACCTTTATGGCATGTTTATTTTCTAAATTCTCAGTTTTTAAATAAATGTCATTCATACTTTTAGACTTACGAAACAAATGTAAAACTTCAGTGTGAGAATAATAATATACGGCTGTGACGGTGTTTTCGTGGTTTCCTTTAAATTTACCTGGTAGCCAGATCTCTATCTTTTTCATTGGTGTCAGGTGTGGGGTAAACTAATAACGATCATGCCAAAACCAGGAAACCCGTAAGTCTACTTCCTATAGTACAGTGCGTGAAGTGTCTAACGAAGCCGCCTCTAATCGTGGTAGCGCCTCTATTTCCGGCGCCCTAGCGCCAGTGTTACGCAGCGTGCTCCACACCGCGCCACAAGATGACTTACTTACCACTGCATCACAATGCGCCCCAGCGCCGCCGCCAACTAATTCTCCTCGATCGTGTACGAAATCAACAGCAAAAACTATAAAAGCACAGCAGCTGGCTGCCAAATTGAAACATGCTCGACGACAAGCCGCAATAGAAAAGGAATTGGCAGACTTGGAACTGGAAGCCGAGCTTGCTGCCATTACCTCTTCTACTTCGAGCCATTCACGTTCGGATTATGTGGAACAATTTGTGCAACTGACCATAAATGTAAGTATCACAACGTCCATCTACAGTGCGGCTGTATACCCAGGGAACTGTTTAACTGTCAAGGTTCACTGTACAAAGCACAATTATTAATTTTCGAATATTATTACTTTGATGTTTAACTTCAAAGACACTACCTACAATAAAAAGCTATATTTATTTAAGGTACAGCAACAGCTACACATGCAATTAATCGACTAGTGTCCAATATGTTTCAGATCTAAGGTTTCGGCACTGTATCTCTGAAAACCTAAAATGTACGTAAGTTTATACAAAATTTAATCGAAAACTGAAATCTACGCAAAATTCTTTGAACATAACGATAACGCAGTTTAGTTAAGAATAAATGCCATCTAGTGTAGCAAATCTTAAAAGTTTTTCCCTACTACATTTTGTTTCAAATGAAATCAAATTATTTATTGGCCATAAACTTAGAAAGTTACACTCAGTTACACTCGGGCTAAGACTTTTACAATCAAATATTATGGTCGTACTCATGCAAGTCAAATCATTATAGAATTATCAAGGAAATTGAGTATTTTAACAATGTCAAGTAGATTATTTAAAAAAAATATATTAATCAATAGTAGTAAAGTTAATTAAATTGCATTATTACAAATAAAATTATTAAAAAAAAAATCTCAATTTTAAAACGAAGACCAAACGGGTGAGATGTAGAAATATACTTAACGCCATCTAGTATAGTACAAAATTGTGTTTTATATAAATTTTAAGTTTTATTTTCAACAATTCATATATTATTTATTACAATGACAAGTCAAATTGTAAACAATGGTTGCTATGGTAACATTTTGATTCCCCTATACTTTTACTCTTTGATTCCCCATAAGAACTTTCACTCCGAATATCATCCCTTTTAGAATATAACCTATAGAATGTTACCTTTCTAGGACCTTAAACTACCCAAATACCAATTTTCATTGATTAAATCCAAATATAAAGAAGTTTCACATAAACGTTTTCGCCCTTTTTGACCTCCTTCGGGGATGAAATTTATTTAAATCCGTTCTCAATACATCTACGCAATAAGACGAATGTACCCTTCAAATTTCAAGTCTCTACGATCAGCCGTTTAGGCTGTGCGTTGTCTGTCAGTCACTATATCAGGATATCACCTTTTATATATGCAGATAACATATTTATCTTTTACGTTAAAACAAAATTTGTCTACAAATATACTAAAGTATTAAGCTTTAAAAAGCTCTTGCACATTTTTGTCACAACCTCTTAGAATATTATTGCTGGTTTCGTCTAAATTAGTATATATTTTTTACTAAATACAGTATAACTTACATTGTGTGTGTGGTGGTGCCTGGAAGCTGACCAGTTGACACAATTACTAAGTACGATGACTGCTAATAGCAGAGATCTGAAACAAGAGAATATTAATAAAAGATCAGTTATGAATCTGTAGGTATATTATTCCTTGACCTGAACTAATAAAAAATATTTCTAAACTTTAGATATGAGCTAGCTAAAAAAGAGATACATATTGTTCATTTTCATGACACTTTGTCTCTCAAAATAACATTTCAAATAAAAATAAAAACTGAATATAAATAATAAAAAAAAAAATAAACGATTGCCATACGTCATTTTGTAATTGTTTTTTTTTTTAATACAAATGTTAATGTTTTACTTAACATTAGTATTTAAAAAATATAATTAATGTTTTACTGTCTTTTACCTACTTTATTACGCACTATATCATTAATGCTTTTAAAAATGATTATGAGAACAGCGAAATCGAATATTATATCGTTAATTAGGTATCATATTCGAATGTGAATGTGACTGTTACGATTCTAAACTCTAACTATAAAAGATATTGGTTTGTAAATAACGCGTATCGATTCATATCTACATCTAGCGGTGTCGTTTATCCTACACCGATAACCGATAAAACTCATCGATAAAGGATCTACGAACGTGTCTGTAAGGCATTTTAAATAATGATAATATCTGAGTTAGACAAGGTACGAACAGTAAGATCGAATAACTATTAAGAGTAATTAACCATGACTATGAAAAAATGTTAAAAATAGCAGTACCGTGGAGTTTTGAATCAAAATTGTCATCTTATATGTAACAACAATTATTATTAGAATTTTTACAGTATGGTATTTTAAGAATCATCAACGAATCATATTCAAAGTGGAAAAACTATAAAACTGAGATAATTATCTGTTTTAAATGAAATGTAATTATTAATAATAATAATTGTTTATTTGCAAGAATATGGTAAAAATGATGTTACACAGTTATTAACAATAGTTTCTCACATTTTACTGTATATGAACAGAGTGCAAATATTTTTATTTTTAAATGTCATTACATGAAAACAGAGAATAATGTTTCAGTATAGATGATGTCAATAATTAATAATTAACCATTCAACCATAATAATCTAATTACAATTATTATTACAAATGTCATCTAAATTTAAATTTAATTACCACTTTTATCTATTAAGAAGTGATTATTGCGACAACGAAGTGTGAAAACCTCCTTACTTAAAGTTTTCAATACAATTTTCTTTTTATTGTTTAAGTTTAAAAATAACAACTTTGAATTCAAACATTAAACAATTATAAAAAACATAAATGTAAATTATTGTCGATCGACATATTTTATAGACAATGTATTCCTCTTTCTGCTTATAGCTTAATCCCCAGTAAAAACTGTTCAAAGCAATCCCACGGGACATCAGCTCATTTACAAAGGCGGAGAAAGAGATAATTATCGGCCGTGACTGCACACAATGCCACGGCCATGATCTAATGACGAAGATGCTTACAACCCAACAACATGTGTGTTTAAAAAGGTTTTACGTGAATATAATCTCAAAACTGGATAATGCTGAAAATGTTAGTTTTTAATATTAATTTACTATACTCGTAGGTATATTATCCAATAAATATTATTTTTGTAACACGTAGTCTATAGGCCTCAAGACTAGTGTTTTGAAGACTAACTGCCGATTTCAGATTTGAGAAAAGTAATCTCAACTTTTCTCAAACAAAAATCTCAACTGATTATTCTAAATAACTTAAGTTTTTTTACGTTTCATATGGCAAAATGTCTTATATTTATCAAACTGCTTAACTAATGCTTAAGGTGATTTAAGTATGGTTTGACTCGTGCTTAACTTTAAATTCTCAATTTATTAACAGTGTGTTAATATGACCCTCCACGCTGAAGCTGAGCGTAGAGGGTCATGGCCCATCCTCCTTAACCATCCATAAGGAAGGCCTGAGCCCCTGCAGTGGGGACGTAAAAGGGCTCAAACATCGAATCGAAAATATCGAATACTTGGCATAGAAGTATATTCAGGGGCAGATCTACCTAAAGGCTTAACGGCCTAAGCGTAGAGCCCTGTGGACTCAAAGGGCCCTCAAACCCCCAACAAAATAATATACAATACGGTTCTTATACATTAAGAACCATTGAAAACAGTTTTAAAAAAAATTCCAAGTACTTTAGTAATTAATAAGCAACTACATTAATCCAGGGCCTCGCAAATTCATGATCGTCGGACCTGAGTATATTTACAGCTGTGTGAATTATAGCTGTAATGTATTATAGAAAGATCCAATAATAAGGGTATGAAGCATCTCACAATAAGCATAGAGAATATAAGCAATATAAGGACAAAAGTTTTTCTTTGTATGTGTCGAAACTATTATTAAACTAATAGTTTTTACCCGACTGCAAAGAATATGTGTTTCGTGCGTTTCTTGTATGTGTTTATGTAAATATATAATATTCTTTATTACCTCATATCTTCAGAATCGCTGTACGGATTTCGATAATTGAGGCATCGTAAGATTTGCTTTAGCAGCCCATGTGTTCTTAGATAAGTAAGTTAAAAAAGTCAAATATGGCGGCTGTCCAACGCCATTATATTTAATTATTTTTTTTTGTTTCAAATTCTACAATATCGACTTAAAAGTGTATCAAATTAATGGGCTTAATACAAGGATTTCAAAAAATCTATTATGATTATCATTACGGTAATATTATAATTATATGTAATCGGGTCTTGTTCGTGCATTTTTTAAAACTATTAATTAACCTCGACGTTTCGGCTACATTACAGCAGCCGTGATCACGAGGAGACTGGAGAATTATAATGTATACAAATCGTGTGAGTTTAAAAATATTATTACAGTAATACTAATAAAAATAATACAATGAGGAAGTTTAAAAATATGGATTTTTTCTTTCATTTTTTGAACCGACCTGTTAATTTGTCTACCTGAAAAGGCTCAATACCGAGTTGGCAATGGTGGCAGTGGTGTTGCCATCTATTCGTTTCACAGTATTCCCTTTAAATAGATAGCCTCTTTGTCATCCCGCTTCGACTGTTTGGAATACCTGATGTCCGAGAACATCGTCAGAAGCCCTATTGTGCTTTTGCATATTGTGTATTGCCCCCCTTCTATCCATTTTTTGCCTGGTTTGGATAGAGATTCTAATTTCTTTGATTGATTCTCTTGCCACTGATTACAAACATATCATCATGGGTGACTTTAATACCGTTTCTTCACGAAAGTTTCGATCGATAATTGAGTCCGCTAATTTCTCCCTGTTATCTTGGTCTTGGTCCAATCTAGCCACTGATAACTCGCATATCGATCACATTATAATGTTCACTTGATCGTGTTGTCAAATACGGTCAATTGCTTAAACCGAGCTTCTCCAAGCACGTCTTGATTTTTATTGCCTATAGAGTCAAGCCTCCTAAAACTAAGCCGGTGTTAGTTCGCATGCAGAATTTCTCCAGGTTGCACGTAGAAAGACTTAGACAATCTAGTCTGATGTAGCATGTTTGTCAAGATGCGAATGATATTAAGACGAGCTCCGGCAAAAGATGTCATACCGATACCAACTGGGAGGTTTTTAAGCAAGCCAGATATGTATGTAACCAGATGATAAGGAGAGTCAAATGCCATCACATTTATCGAAACATATTTAATTCTTCACCAGCTGAAATGTGTAAGTTCCTGAATTCTAATATCTCGTATAGGTAAATCTCGTGCTCAAACTCCTTGTCCCTTTGCATTAGACGAACTTGACTGTCATTTTTCGCCTTTAAAAAATTTCCCTGTTACTATCAAATTCCTCACTATTTCTTAACCTTTTTCCACTCATACTTCTTCTGGTAATCTCTTTTCTTTTACCCCTTTCACAGTCGATGAGATACGTAAAATGATCATAGCTATTAAATCGAAATTTATGGGATTTGATAACATCAGTAGAAATATAATAATTCCTATACTTGACGCTATTACCCCTGCTCTAACACTCATCCTAAATTATTCTCTGACCACTGGCTCCTTCCCTGACCTTTGGCAAAAGGCTTACGCTATCCCTCTTCCCAAAACTCCCAACTCTAGCTTATGAGTCATTATAAACCTATCGTCTCTAACTGGCGTAATCTATTTGCTGGGGTTCCTCAAGACAGTAGAATCTTCTCTTCTCAGTTATCATTAACTCCCTTACAACTATTATTACTACTCCTTATCACCTATATGCTGATGACTTTCAGTTGTACGCGCAGGACGACGTTCTAAACTTGAATGGAGCTATAGATCTACTCAATAGGAACCTCTCATGGATAGCCGAATAGTCACATAGTTTTGGAATTTCTGTAAACCCTGAAAATGTCAGGCCATTATTATTGGCAAAATCTGCTCTAATTTAATCTCCTCTTTGATTATGCTTCGTTTTCGAGTGACGTAAATATGACCACACGTCTTACTTCCGTCAACAACTTAAGTGGCTGCCCATTCGTGAGCACAGAAGCTTAAGGATCGTATGCACCCTGTTCAACAACCACGTACTCCCGCGTATTCATTTTCTAGGTTTTACTTTAAAGGGGCTTCCCACCTGAAAAATCTTCACTTCAGTGGTAATCTGGTCCTCCAAACACCAACTTACCATTCTTGCTACTCATCATTCTGACTGCCATCAGACTATGGAATGCACTGCCTTAAATGTTGGTAACGCCCCAAACAAGCTCGTATTTAAGTCCGCAGCTCGTAACCTCTATTTCTTGTCTATTTCCATTTTATAATACAATTACCGTACTCGTTTTGGTATATGTTATAATACTCGTAGTATATATGCTTATGCTTATAGTAATTTTCTAATTATTAATTATCCTATTATGTATTAAGGATAATGTAAAAATCGTAAAGTCAAAGTCAAAGTCAAAAGTCAAAATAATCTTTATTCAAATAGACTTCTTAAAAGTACTTTTGAATCGTCCAACATTTTTTTCCCTACCACTCGTTCAGGACGTCTTTTGGCTGATAAGAAGAACGAGCAAGAAACTCACCAGCTCTAATAAGAGTAATGACATTT